GACAGTTGTACCATACATGTAGAATTCACATTGAAAGTACCATTACAGATGTTAGCCATGGAAGGACAATGAAAGCTTTACAATCAAGTCATGCAGCTAAGTGTAGGTAAAGACACCAAAACAATTAACCTGAGCTATAAATCTTCTGTCAGAAGACTACAAAGTACTTAGTCATTCATTTCTTGTGAAAATCAACAACAACAACAAAAACAATCAAACGTGTCGAGAAGCGCTAAGTAATTATGCGTAGTTATGATGATACTACGCATTACAAAGTGATGCAAAATAAAAATTAACAGGAATGAAGATTAGAACAGCTACAGTGAAGAATTTGGTTGTACAAAATATTTATTTCACATTTAAAGTTAAGGTATTTATTAATGTACGACTGCCGATTCAATTAGACATAAATGATGAGTACATAAAGTTCTGCAATAGCTGATTTCTTCAAATGTCTGCTGATGATGGAATGAGACTCAACGTGGAACGTTACATAGAAGTACACTAATACACTGAGGGAAAGAAGAAATTGACCACCCCTAACTCTTTCTCGACAGACATACAATGGACCCACACAAAGACAAACTTGGAGGATCTGGACTTCGCCGACGATTTGCCACAAACTGGAAGATATGCAAGTGAAAAACAACAAGTTGGCAGAAGAAGCATCAACGACAGGATTTCACTTCTGGTGAACACAGAGAAAACAGGGGTGATGAAGATTCCTGGCCGCGAAGAACAGCAACAGACAACAATCAGCATTATATGGTAGGAACCCGAAAGAAGAAACTTCCTTCACCTACCTACCTGGGAAACGTCGGTTCAACTACAGGCGGATAGAACTGATGAGGATATCAAAGAGAGGATCTGGAAAGCAAGGCAAGCTTTCATTTCTCTCAAGTCTGTGTGGAGGCCAACAGCCCTCAGTACGAAGAATAAGATCTGGATTTCCAACTCCAATGTGAAGTCAGTCAGTGCTACTATACGGATCAGAGACTCGCACTACGCGTCATCAAGGGCACTTCGAACAAACTACACACCTTCATCAACAGCTGTTTTCGCTCAATACTACTCAAGATCAGATGGCTGACTAGAAAAGATCAGCAACAGGGATATCTGAGAATGAGCGACCTAAACCAGCAGGAACCAATAACGCAACAAATATGAAGGAAGAAATGGAGGTGGATTGGCCATACTCTGAGAAAACAAACCACCAAATTACATCATACACACCAGGCCATCGCTCGAGTGAAACCCGAATGGGAAGCGGCGAGTTGGTCATCATTGTGAGGATGACCTGAAAGAGGTTATGTTCAGAAGAGATGAAAGCATGTGGGCAGACGTGAAGCCAGATGATAACCTTGGCGGAGAACCGCACACAATGGAGACGTGTGGCTGAAGCCCTTTGTTCCTCTAGGAACTGGAGGAAACAATAATAATAAATAATAAACTCTTTCCCAGCCTTATCCAAGATCAGCTGGAGACAATAGGTGATATGGCTTAAAATCGTTGTCAATGGTTTACGCAGATGTATTCAGTCTCTTTAACCTTCATATTCCTTTCTATCATTACTCATTCTGTTTCACTCTTATACTTATCTAAATTCTATTGATTCTCTTCTCTCATTTTCCTGTCTACCTTTGTGTGCTATTTGGAACGTGGCAACTCGAAGTGCTGCACTTCGGTGCCAAGTTCTATGTTGAATCCAGCAGCAGCAGCATCCAAGATCAGCCCACATAGTCTTTCAAGAAAGGCAGTGAATTGTGATACGTTGCACATGTTCTAACCATCTCAATAGATTTAACTTTACAATCTCATTGAATGACTCTTCCTCTACGCATAAACCCACTACTACTCACAACAATATACCAATTAAAATGGAAGATAGAACGTAAACATTTATGGTTAGAGACAGTAAGCCTATTTATGTCGTCCACTTTCATTGTAAAATATCATCCGCATACTATGAGTAAAAAAGATTGTTCTTTGCTAACAATCGATTACGCTGATAACCATTAGTCTATCTATGACAAAATCAAGGAAAAATGAGGGCAACAGGCATCTAAGACGGATACTAAGCGGTTGTCATCACTTAGGCTGCTTTCGTCAAAGGCTAACTATCCAGCTCAGAGAACACAACCACATCAAAATAAACTCTCTTTGACTGTTGCACTGAGACAGGCAGATCATGTTGGATACCTAGTTGTAGTCCACAAGACGTTAAGAACCAATGGTTTGTTACTGTTGGTAGAGACATGGCACTAACAAATCATCCTAGTAACTTGAAATTCCTAGATTCGATCCCTTGTGAGGTTGTAGGTGTACAGCGGTTGAAGACTCTCAAACTAGGACGAAACCACTAGCTATTTAATGCTTCTTAGCTTCCAATGATTCTCTCTAACTGATTTTTGGTTCATGACTAGAACGACACTGAAATTAGTTCAAATCCCGATCCAAACAAAAACCGTATAATCTAAATAACTGCTTAGATATCCATCTATTTGGAAAGATAGATGTGAATAACAGTCATGATAAAAATATAGATTATCAGTGACAGACACAAACATACACACACAACCAGAAAGGGACTAAATTGAATTTATCCACTGGGCTTAATTGTTTATATACTTTTCTCAGTTCAATAATCCCAATTGCATGCATATGTATGTGTTTATTCACCATGAGATATAATCAGATGAGAGAAAAAGGAGAATTGAGCTATTTATATACCCGTAGGATTTGAATTTCCGTTTACTCAAAACTGAAAAACAAGTTCACAGCACATGCCAAAAGGACAACAATATTGTAGGGGAATTATCATCCCAATAACAGTTAATAGCCGATAATACTAATGTGATCATAATAATAATCCAATCAGAAAGAGGAGATGTAGGCGGGGTGGGGTGGAGGTTGTAGGGGAAATGTTTGTTGTTTCCGGAAGAAGGCTGATAATGGAATAGACATGTGAAGCCTGAATAGTTTTAGATACAGGCATATGTGTATATATACATACACATAACACGAAAGTAGTCAATTATGATGAGGACATTAAAAATAGCATAAAACATGGTATGAAATCATTTCACATAATTGTTAGACAACATGAGCTATAATGACGAGTGGGAAAAAGAGTATACAGTACAACGAAATCCTAATCGAATAACTCAATAGAAAATAGGCTAACAGGAGAACTAGATCGCTTTTTTTATTGGACTGATTTGAGAATAATGTAATAAATAGGTAATAGGATTTTCATCATGAGCTGACATTAGTTAGAAAACCATTGGAAAACCAGCAGAAAGTACTCGACAGCTGTTCCGTCCTAGTCTGTAACTCTTCATCAGTACGCACCCACCGGGATTCGAACCCAGGACCTTCCGGTTACAAGGTAAGCTCGTATACATTAAGCCACTGAGACCCGAACCAATGACCAGGTCATGAATTCTAACTTCTGCCAATTCATGACATAGCGCCACCCCTAGCCAATGTCTTCGATGGGTGCGTACTGCTGAAGAGTCCCAAACTAGGACGAAACAGCTGTCCAGTACTCCCAGGTTTTTCAACGGTTCTCTAACTAATGTCAGCTCATGATGAAAATCCTGTAATCAATCAACCAAATCCCTACAAACCAACACTTAAATAGGGAATATTTGTAACTGTATTTATGTGACATGTGCTACTGGCAAACTTTTTTTAAGTAGTAGTATACACTCTATGCGATGTCTTGTATAAAGAGTACTTATTACATAGCGAAGTCACGAATTAAATGGCAGAGAGGCGAAATCTAAGATTCTTGAGAATCAATATTATTTAGAAAGCAGGATACGATCTGGATTTCGCGTGTGTGAATGATTTCTGTTCAGTGTCACGCAAACTCGAAGACTTGCGGGCGAAAACCAACAAACTGGCAGAAAATGCCAGCAGCAAAGACAGGACTCCAGGTGAACACACAGAAGACGAAAGTGATGAAGACAACCAACCAACAGCAACAACAGCCAGCACCAAGCATTACTGGTCGACAAAATTTGAAAGATATAGGCATAAAACTTTGGCACTGTGGTAGAGTATAACTCTATTATGGATAAGATTTTATTTTGATAAATCATACAATGTTGTACAGTAATATTTACTGATGACCACGTTTCGAGCACAAATTATTGCCACTCATAATCATATCAAGTCACTCACATAAATCACATCATTCACTTATCTAGGAAGCATCGTTTCAACTACAGGAGACAGCACAAATGAAGGTGGTAAAACCAGAATCGGAAAGGCAGGATAGACATTCATCACTCTGATATCAGTTTGGAAACCTGCTTCACTTAGCATAAAGAACAAAATTCGAATTTCCGACAAGAATGTTGAGTCAGTGAGTTCTTCCGTAGGAGCCAGAAAGTTGTAATGCGCGTCACAAAAAAGAATTACCCCCTTCGCCCTTCGCCGGTCGGCTCCATACTGAAGATCACATGGCTAGCCAGTAAGAATTAGAAACAAGAAACTCTGGCGATAAACAAACCAACTGGCTGTGGGAGAGAATTTAGATGGATTGGTTACACGCTTAGAAGACCATCAAATGACATCGCACGCAATGCAGACCATTGGTCTATTGGAAGCCGAATGGGAAACAATGAATGGGATGTTGGTCCGAGGTTGACATGGAGGAGATCAGAGACTTTTGGCAACCCTCAAAGTCATCTCAAGAGGATATCAGAGAATAGGCCAAAAAGGAAATGTTCTGTTGAAGCTGCATATTCTACTTGGAACCCAAGGGAACAATAATAATAGTGAAGTGAAGACAAACGAAACGCAATGTGAATAACCTAAATCTAAGGTTTCTGTACTTTGACATAACTGTACATCGCTTTGCCGGCGTATACTTCAGTTTTCTCTACCTACACATTCTTCCCAACTGACGTTTTTTTGAGAAAATAAAGTGCACCAACTATGAACAAACAAACAGAAAATAAACAAAAGGAAAACAAAATAGTCAAACTCACCTAAAATTCCATGAGAAGCTTCCACTGAAATATGCTTCATAGCTTCTTTGATTTGTTGATATACTAAACGAGACTAAAAGAAGGAAGGAGGGAAAATATATATATAGAACATATAGACAGAGATAAAGAACACGCATGGAATTAATCCAAAGTTAAACGACAGTAACTTGATACACACGACTAGTGAGACAGAAAGCCAAGGCAAGAACATTCAGTCTAGCACATTGATAAACACGATGACCTACAGGCGAAAATCTGACATGTTGGCAGGAGTGGCATAAAAAACGGAACTTCAGGTGATGAAGATATCCAACTAGCAATCGTCATCTTTTTGATTTACAATAACCTAAGCACAGTCGTTTCAATTACAGACAAACAGGCGGCATGGATAAGGGTGTCAGAGCCAGCCAAGTTGGCATCACAAAAGTAAGACATGCCTTTATTATTACTTTGAAATGGATATGAAGATCCAATAAATTTGGCACAAAGAAAGAGTTTGAATTTCTAGAACTAATATCAACACAGTGCTTCCATATGCTTCAGAGACGTGGCGTTTATGTGTCACCAAAAGCATTTCTAATAGGATATTGAAGACTTTCACGAACATTTGTTTCCGATTGAAACCAAAGACCATATTACCTGACTGACTGACTGACTGACTGACTGACTGACTGACTGACTGACTGACTGACTGACTGACTGACTGACTGACTGACTGACTGACTGACTGACTGACTGACTGACTGACTGACTGACTGACTGGATTCAACATAAAACTTTGTTTGCATGGAAGATTTCATCATGAGCTGACATCAGTTAGAGAACCACTGGAAAACCTGGGAGTACTGAACAACTGTTTCCTCCGTTCTAGTTTGGGACTCTTCATCAGTACGCCCCCATTAGGGCAGTAGCTCATCGAAGAAGACACCGCAAAATGGTCGCGCTATGTCGTGAATTGTCAGAAGTTAGAATTCATGGGCTGGCCATTGGATCGAGTCCAGTGGCTAAACGGACTACGAGCTAGCTCATCTTGGAACCGGAAGATCCTGGGTTCGAACCTTCGCGGTGGGTGCGTACTGATGAAGTGTCCCAAACTAGGATGAAGGACACAGTTGTCCAGTACTCCCAGGTTTTCCAGTGGTTCTCAAACTTATGTCAGCTCATGATGAAATCCTCCATGCAATCAAACAAAAATCCCTACAAAACCAATAGTTGAAAAATTAAACTTTGCACCGATATGCAACAGTTCAAGTCGCCACTCCCCCTCCATGTAGCACACAAAGCAAGAGAAGAAAGTAAAAAGAAATGCAAAATAGAAACAGTAAACAGAGATATGAGGTAAAAAAGGAATAGTAATATCGAAGAACAATATAGTTTTATTGGGTATTATAAGTCACGAGGAGTGGATGCATCTGCGCCAGCCATTGACAACGATCACTTTGAGCCAATCACCAATTGTCTCCAGCCGTCATTGGTTTTTACCGTCCCGAGGACTTCAACCAGAAAGCCAGTCTACACCTTCCTACGTGGTTTAAACTAACTATTGTGGATTTCATTGACTGATACCATATCACCTATTTGAAAGTATTAAGCAATAGTTAACTGTGGCAGGCAGCTAAAACAAGCCAACAACCTTTTACCTACAATGAGGCTGAAGACATTCAAGTGACATAGTCCCTCAAGTGGAAGCTGAATGGGGAGCGACCAACGACTTGGAAGTAGGTTCAAAGGTGACACATGAAGAATATGATTTGAAGAAAAATGAAAGCCTAAGGATAGTCGTGGAGCCAAATGAAAATGACGACAAGGAACAGAGTGAAATGTAGGTGTACTGCTGAGGTTCTATTTTCCACTAGGAATCGAAGGAACGAGTAATATTAGTAACACTGATAACAAATCTCTATCTCTCTTTCTCTCTTTACGGTGAGTAATCAAACACCTTCTGATAGGAAGTGGCCAAAATTATCATCATTTTTAGCCATCGGTGACAGAAGTCGAAGACTTTCGTCTCATATCTACGCCTATGTAGTGGTGTATGAATAATTTTTGACCATATACGACCGATTAGATTGGTTTACTTCACCCATTTACAGTGGGTATATATATGGCGTGCTTATGGTCCCAAGACAGTCTTTGTATTTTATCGAGGCAGAAGGTACTAAGGAAGAATACTCGTATACGACATTTGGTTAAGGTTCCCATTGAGTTTAGTATCTTCCAAACCACTCACCTGCCTCCTTCTGTATTAGTCCATTCAGTCACATCACTTTTTCATTTCCACACCTGCACATAGAAGTTAATTAGTGGATGGTGACTAGCAGTGGATTCCAGGATGCACATTTCGTCCTATGCGGGACTCGTCGTCTGAATGTAACTGCATTCCCCAGTGAGTGGTGATGTTCCCACCGAGGCTCTAACCCAGTATCCATAATTTCAAACGCCAAAGCGTTATCCATTAGACCATGTGGGCCACAAGAGCCACATATTGTGCAACGAGTCATGCTAATTATTTTATTCAATTTTAGATTTTCGACTGTCGACTGGATGGACCCAATGCAGGTATATCCAGTTGATGAGTCCCAAATAGGACAAAATGCGCATCCTGACTGAATGCCACTGCTAGTCACCATCCACCAATTAACTTCTAATTACATATCCAGACATCGTCGAAGCATCTGCACAAGAAGCCGACATGTCAATCTGAGACCTAGCACTTCGGTTCATTCAATCGAAAATCTAAAATTGAATTAAACACTTTTCTAATCGTTTGTTTTTATTTTTAATTATGAATTCAATATTATCACTTTCTCGTGTTCCTTTAGGACATTTTCTCACCCTCTGCACATCTGTCAATTAGACACTCGACTAACTTCCTTATCATTCGATAATAATTTCAACCTCATTAAATGTCAAACCCTTTCTCCCCTTGCACCATTGAATATTACGCAATATTTCACTCCCCTATTTTAAAACGATTATTCCCTTTTATGATTTTGGATAGTGTTAATGAAAGACAGAGATTATCTGAAAAATGCGGTGTGATGTAATTTGCCAATACTATTCAAACAATCTGATTCCTCACACATTTAACTGTCAAGTCAATTTGTATGAGAAATAATAAAGGCCAATTAAAACACACACAGAGACAAAAAGGATTTAAGAATAATAAGTATAATTAACACTGCGTTCGGTTATCCAATCAGATAGGGATTATCAAGGTAATTCAATTGAATTTCAGAATTTCCCGTCGATTGATTGGACCGAAGTGCTCAGTCTCAGGTTGAAATGACGAAATGCGCATCCTGGATTCCACTGCTAGTCACCATCCACCAATTAAATTATCAAGGTAGGTTAAAAGTAATAAGAAATTCAAACAATTAGTCCCTTTGATAAATTTGAATGAAGCATTTAGAAGACAAATTTCGCGAGATGATATCGTCATTTCGTAGTTTCTTTACAACCGCTTTACAACTAACATTATTTCACATAACTCTAATTCAAGGTTGGTTATTGAAAGTGATGGAAGCAGTTTGTATTAATCACATACATCCTATTGTGTACAAAAAGCAATAGACTTCGACCTTCGCCTACCACGGACTACTTGACCTATTTAACTATGACTGGTCATTAGTATGCACTTTTGTTTTTATTTAACTGAGTAATTGTCATGCGTTTTATTTTATTTTAATATTGTTAACCATGTTAGTTGTAAAGTGCTTGTAAAGAAACTACGAAATGACGATATCATCTAGCGAAATTTGTCTTCTAAATGCCTTATTCAAATTTATCAAAGAGACTAATTTGTTTAATTTCTTATTACTTTTAACCTACCTTGATAATTTAATTGGTGGGTGGTGACTAGCAGTGGAATCCGGGATGTGCAGGATGCCTAGACATCGTCGAAGCATCTGCACAAGAAGCCGACATGTCAACCTGAGACCTAGCACTTCGGTCCAATCAATCGACGGGAAAATCTAAAATTCAATTAAACACCTACACATAGTTTGATAATCAAAGTTTCGCGAAATTTTTAAACGAACGCTTAAAACCAATTTTTTAAAATGTGACTATAAACAATTAATTTAGATGAATAACTTCTAGTTTATTGCTTCATGGGTTTGAAAATTGATCTAAATCTTTGCAGATGAAGATTTATGTGATTGATGTATAAACTTAAATATTATCACCAATTTTGAAATCCAATTAATAGAAGGACAGTGGGATTCATTCACTTTCAGAAAATATTGCAAAATAAGCAGATGAACAACAATCCACTAAGTTGAACTTAATTTTTATTTTCCTTTGATGTTCCCATCTGAGCCCATCATTTCAAACCCTAAAGCGTCTGGTAGCGCAGTGGCTTAGTGCTCAAGGTATTGGTTGGTTCAAATCTCAGTAGGAACACAATCAATCAATGGGAATGCAGATACATCAACCTGATGAGTCCCAAACACGACGATACGTGCTTCCTAGATTCTACTGCTAGTAGTCACCCTCAACCACACAACAATCAATAATAAACTAATCAGGAGAGTTGTACCTCAACGGAGGTTAGACGCTTGATTCTCAACCACCTGAACCCTGCCTCCTAGACAAGGCAGTTATCATAAAGCCCTAAACGATGGACGTATAACTCCAACTGCCAACTGCATATCAAACAAAACTTTGAATAACTAAGTAGTCATAGTTACTTATCACACTTACTTTTCGAGTATAAAATAAATCCATTTGTGAATGACTTTCAATTTGTCGTGTAATGCATAAAATATGCGAATGAGATCGATATGTCATATTTATAATTTGATCATACCATAATCGTTCCAGTATACGTCCAGATAAATTACGAATTAAAAGATAATCAGAACATACCTAGACGTAAAGGGGAAAAATAAAGAAAGTATGAAAACATTATTAGTGGAAGATATTGAGTCATTGGCTTCAACATTCAACAATAAAACAATGAGTCATAAGTTCATGTTCTGCTCCATTCATGGGCCTGGTAGATGACAAAAACAAGTATTCCAAAGAACTGACTTCAAATGATACCACATAGATGGCGTAGAATAAATTCAGCTGTCAGTGGAGTAATCATAGAAGAAAGCCTCCTCTGAAAATCCCTCCTCCATGAAAAATATTTTGAAAAAAATACTGACACTTATTTGAATATTTCAACTAATTCTGTCATTACAGGATTTTCATCTAGAGCTGATATCGGCTAGAGAACCATTGAGATCCTAGCCAGGGAGTACTGGACAGCTGTTTCGTCGCAGTTTGGGCTCTCCATCAGTGCGCACCCATGTCGCGGGATTCAAACCCAGGACCTCCCACTTACGAGGCGAGCTCATAAACCATTAAGCCACTGGGAGCCGATCCAATGGCCAGTCCATGAATTACAACTTTTGGCAATTCACCACACAGCACAACCACCAGCCAATGTCATCGGCGAATATTTGTCCTCACACTCGATCTGATGTCCCACACTGGTTATGAATTCCTATTAAAACAAATATTCGCCGCTGACATTGGCTAGTCATTCTGCTGTGTCATGAATTGCCAGAATTTGGAATTCATGAACTGGCCATTGGATCGGCTCCCAGTGGCTTAATGGTCTATGAGATCGCCTTGTAAGTGGGAGGTCCTGGGTTCAAACCCCGTAATGATGAGGAGTCTCAAACCAGGGCGAAACAGCTCTTCAGTTCTCTCAGGTTTTCCAATGGTTCTCTTATCGATATATCAGCTCATGATGAAAATCCCACGCTATATATTCAAAAGAAATACGTCCAACCGCTGTCTCTACGATGGCCATCATAAGAAGTAAATTCTCTAAACAGTGTTTATCTAATTACCTTTCTTAACCAATCTTCCTGCCTATTTAGTTATTATTACGTTTTTAATCCCTGATTGCACACAAAGTCAATTTTCTCAGTAATTATGATCCTACTATGTTTTATTTGACCTTCCTGTTGATAACTGCATTTTAATCCCTATTAGCAATCTTATTAATCTGACCCTTAACCAGAAATATTTTTGGAATTTTCTCTCTCTCATTTACTATAAATACACGAATGTATAGTGTAGTAGATGACTTTCCGAAAAGATTTTCTTCGCTGAAACCGTCTTTTTAATACTTCCTAAGATATAACAGTATATTTCAACGGTCTCCTTCTGGGTTCACTACTGTATGCCCATCTTGTCAGTTCCCAAACGGGCTGACGTATAATCCAATCTATCCCACAATCAGGAAGGTTATCAGCTGTAGTAGACAGCTTTTTCTAATTTTGAAAAGGCTCTGGTGAGCTCTGCGTCGCGAAAGACACGGCAAAAAGGTAAAAACAACAAAACAGATAAATCTGTTCACAGCAGTTATACACAAACACACATGCACCAAAAACTCAAAAAAAACGATGCAACTAACTTCAATAAAAATCAGTTCACCACTGTCATCTGAACCACGATAAGCTTCATGTGAACGTTGGACAATGAAACGACTTTGTGCCACATTTAAATCAATATCATTACCGTTCTGTAGGAATAATAACAAGAGAAGGAAGAGAAAAAGTGAATCACAATTCAAACTCATCATTTAATGACCAAAAACAATCAATGTATAATGTTAGTTGACGTATGTATGGATTGATTTGAAAAAGAATATAGGGAGTTGTCAAATAAAAATCAGTCCACAGTGTCTCTGATAGTTCGTTTCATCCATATTTGGAGACTGTAGACCACCATACTGGGATCTTCAAGACTCTGAGTCTAAGTCTTCAGTATGAAGTATTTGCACATAAGTACGACATTTCACGTTGCCATATACAAAATAAAGGTAAAGAAAAAATTGGAAGCGCTATAATGTGCGTTATAACCAACCAACAACAACAGCAGCAACAGCAACATCCAACGCCAATCACCATCAACGGGAAGGATTTGAAAGAGATTACTTCTTTCACTTATCTAGGGAACATTCTATCAACTACAGGAGGAACGGACGACGATGTCAAATCGACAATCAGGAAGGTGAGAAACACATTCATCAACCTGAAACCAATCTGGAAATCTTCGTCACTCAGCCTGCATCAACAACAAAATTCGGATTTTCAATACAAACGTCAAGTCAGTTTTGCTGTACGGATCAGAAACTTGGCCAGTGTGTCACAAAGAATATTTCCAACAGCCTGTTACAGACCTTTATCAACAACTGTCTTCGCTGGCTCTATACTGAAGATCAGATGGCCGGAAATAATCACCAACAAGAAACTATGGGAACAAACAAAACAAGAACCAATCGCCAAACAACAAATATGCAGGAGAAAGTGGAGATGGATTGGACACTCGCTGAAGAGGCCGTTAGGTGACATCGCGCGTCAGGCCCTCGAGTGGAACCCGAAAGGGAAACGACGAGTGGGACGTCCAAGGGTGGGTGACATGGAGGAGATCGTGTGAAGAAGAGTTGAAACAGCATGGACTAACATGGATGGAGGTGAAAAGTACAGCAGAAGACAGAAGCAAGTGGAGGCGTGCAGTTGAAGCCCTATGTTCCACTAGGAACTCAAAAGAACAATAATAATTTAATATAATGTGCGTCGGTAGTCCAGTCCAGTGGTAGAACACTGGCCAACCAAGCAAGTGGACTGGGGTTCGATCCCTGGCCAACGAACTCCTTTACCACCTCCTTCAGCCGCTACTAAGTGCAGTAGAGGCGAAGTCGGGTGTGAGGCTAGCAACTGCATCCCATGTTTGGTATTGGTTGTTTGGTTGTCTTTATCACCTATGTCTTCTCTATGTTCATCACTTGAAGTCCTGTCTTTGCTGCCTCCTCTTCTGCCAACTTGATGGTTTTCGCCTGGAGATCTTCGAGTTTGTGTGACATCAGACATAAATCATCCGGTCTTTTGATGTTATATATATATATATATATATATATATATATATATATATATATATAGCATGCCACAAGACAATCTTCACACTTTACTGCTTAACGTGATTCAATCACAAAAAACAGCAAAACTAGATTGGAACCGAAGATATACAACCGTGACATGCATACATAATTTATCGATCCGTAATCACTTGATTCAACACATATATGTACAATAATGACAATAATATATGTTCCCATAAACTAAGGTTTTAAGAAGAAGAAAAAACAAGATAGGTTAAGAGAGAGCAGCAGGTGTAAGAAGGACACGTTATGCTTTGACAAAATCTCAACACTTTGACACTATGATTTTTGAAATCCACATGACTACTTAAAACAGTATGTGATTAAATGATTTAGGAATGACATATGTGAACTCAAGAGGAAATCAATTAAAACTCTTTGCTTGGTGAAAACATTATTTTTCTGTTCAAGTTCTCATGTTATTATTCTTTCTTGTGTACATTTCTGCTTATTATAGCACCAACGGATTGATTGGTGACGAAATCTCAGCACGGATCTAAAAAGCTCGAGCCTGTTTCGCTAACTTACGCCATCTCTGGCGTTGGCGTGACATCCGGCTATCAACCAATGGACGTGTGTACTGCTCAGCAGTTCGCTCCGTCCTTCTATATGGCTCTGAAACATGGCCAATACGAGTTGAACACATGAAAAGGTTGACTGCTTTTGATCATAGATGTCTACTATCCCTTTCTCCTGTTAGGTGGCATAATAAGGTAAGTAATGTTGACGTTAGGCGTAGAGTGTTAGACAAAGAGGGAAAATCAGTCGACGAGGCCATAAAATTACATAGATTCAGATGGCTAGGTCACGTGCCGCGCATGCCTAACCATCGCCTCCCGCGACGGACGGTCATTACTAGCTTATATAGGTGCAGGTTGGAAAAGAGGAGTAAGTGGTGGCCAAACAAAAACATGGCCTCATCAATCCATGAAATCCTTGACAGTTAAACTGAGTCAGGTAGGGAGGGAGATGCAGACTTCCGGGTTGGGGCCCGCCCTCGGGACTCTAAGAATCAATGGTGGCTGGAGACAATAGGCTGCATGGCTCAAAATCGTTGTCAATGGCTTACGCAGATGTATTCAGTCTCTTGTGTAATCTTTCATATTCCTTTCTACCATTACTCATTCTGTTTCACTCTTATACTTGTCAAAACTCTATTGATTCTCTTCACTCACTCATTTTCTTGTCTACCTTTGTGTGGTATTTGGAAGGTGGCAACTCGAACTGCTACACTTTGGTGCCAAGTTCTATGTTGAATCCAGGCAGCCAGCCTTATTATAGATCTTTTCAATATTTTTTCTCTCTCATTTGTCAACGTTTGTATGAGATATCGGGAGAATGACAAGTTGAACTAATGCAATTTTGTGCAACGTTTTACACTGAAACTTAGTTTGTGTTCAGTTTCACTACGGTACTTAATTTGCTTCAATTTTGATCACTGTGTGATGTCAGTTAACTTGCATTGTAAGTGGAAGATCCTGGATTTGTACCTGAGTGGGTATGGGTACTGCCGAAAACACCCGAACTAGGACCATGGAAACAGCTATCCAGTACTGCCCGCTTGTTTTGAATGATTTTCTAACTGATGTCAATCTGTGGTCGAACTCGAAACAGGTCAAAAATCCCGACAAAGTAGTAACTCTTAAGAAACACTTAATTTTTCGAGTTATAAAAACGGAACAATTGAAAAATCAGAAAGTAGCAAGACTTTTTCAATTGAATGGTGACTGAACAAAGAATATTCTTTTCGGTAACTTCATCACCTCCAGTTTTTACAGTTATATATATACATATATATATATATATATAATATTGAGTTATATTGGCCGTTGATTGGTTGGAGGATTTCATCATGAGCTGACATCAGTTAGAGAACCATTGGAAAGCCATCAAAGAGTACTAGACAGCTGTTTCGCCTTACTTTGGGACTCTACACAGTACGCTTCTTCCGCCAGGGTTCGAACCCAGGACTTTTTGGTTACAAGACGAGCTCATATATTTTTCAGGCAACGAGACCCGACCCAATGGCTCATGAATTTCAACTTCTGCCAATTCGTGCTTTTTATATTGAGCGCAATTGCCAGTCAGTATCACAGGCGAATAACTCTCCTCTTGCCTGACTTGGTGAACCCCTCTGGTTACAACACCTAAATTTAATAATGACGGTTAGAGGTCTGCTAATAGCGTCCAGGTAGCATTGGATATACATAGAACTTCCACAAGAGCATAGATGTGGACTTCCAATCAACCTATTATCCAGATAATAATGAAAAGCATTACATCTGGATAAAGTCTATCTCTCAGTTTTGGAATAGCACTCATATATCCGTTAAGAATGGTATGTTGTGTCACCCAACACACAGTAGTACTGGCAAATTCGCACTTCTAGGCCATAATTCCATAAGGTGGCTTGGAACACTTTGTAATTACAACAAACATTGTGTAATTGATTGTAACAAACAATTGGAACACCGAGTAAATGAGGGTACTCTCCTTATTCTTACGCTTCTACTCATTTAATAAGAATGAGGAAAACAACGAATTGGGAGTCCGAAAACGTAATAGGTATTGGAAGAGTCAAATAGTTCCATTTGTCAAGTGGTAAGCAATTAAAGCAGTAAGGGGAAGGACAGTACTGAAAAAACAAAACAAGTAGTTCAGAGAAGTGACTCTTTAGATGTACAATCGTATTTATATACAATTTCTTTTTTCACAAAAAAAGGATAGTGACAAAATTAAGGTCTTGAGAGTTAGGCAATAACGGAGAAAAATCTTCATCCAGAATGGATATCCACTGAAATTTATTGACGAGAATTTCAAACTCAAAGTTCAGAGGAACAAAACATCCTATATGCTAAAAGACAAACTCCACACGAGCCTTGATTTCAAAGGAAGCGAACCTATAATATCCTTAAAGGAAGAATTTCGACATCTTTGAGGATAATATTCTTTGCAGTGACTCTAAGAGTAGTGTTCTCCAGTCACCTATTGATCTCTAGAAGCCTGAAAAGCAAGACCTCGTATCTGACCACTTCAATGTGCATATATCAGTTTAACCGTTCCTATGGAACCAGGTATATTAGTTATTCTACGCATATCCTGTTTAGAAACATTCAAGAACACTATTCCGCATGATTGCAAAAAGATAATAGTGATTCTATAAATGATGAGATAATAATGGCAGATTCTATCTCAATAAACTCCTCCTTCAAAGTAATCTATAAAGTGAAGAATAGCATGTCGTCAGCACTACGCTTTCGTTTCCTTTGCATAACTGCAGCTCTGTACTCAAAAGGCAATTATTCAGCAACTTATATTCCTCTCGAACTCTTGCATAACATGACCTTTACTTTATTTCTACATGACCCTGATTTCATTCCTTTACGTTCCCAGTGGAACATAGGTTGGCTTCAAGCTAGAGGCTTGAAGTTTCGGTAGTAGTGGTGCTTATTTTTACGGGATGGTGTTGCTAGCTTCATGCTCAACTTTCCCTCCTCAGCAGTCTTAATAATGGCTTAGTGAGGTAAAGCAGTTCGTCGGGGATCGAACCCCAGACCACATGCGTGGTTCGCGAGCATCCTACCTCTATGCCACCGACGCGCACATATGACCCTGATTACAACTCACTAATTAAAATAATTCACCTCATTTCGCGCAACTTTATTATCCTTAATCAATTTCTCTCATTAGTTGATCAATATTAGAAATTATAATTATAACAATTCATCTCTTTATTTCATGGAAAAAAATAGTTGTGTATAAATGAGATTGTAGAGCTAAGGAAAGTGCAATCAACGCCGAAAAAGGGCTTCCTTCGTTAAACTACTTGTTTTGGCTTTTTTCTCATTATTACCTAGATAGGCATTATCTATGTATTACAAAGTCCAACTGATATAAGAATAAAACTTGTGCACTGTGGTAGAGTGTAATTCCATTATGGGTAAATTTTATTTTGATAAAGTCTCACAGTGTCATACAGTAATATTTACTGATGACCACGTTTCGAGCACAAATTATTGACACTCATAATCATAATCATAATCACACGACTTCCTAAATTCATTTATATAGTTCCATTGTTTTTCACTTGATTTGATTGGTAGTAATATTTTCCATATTTCGGGTGTGAGTGATGAATCATTCCTATTCCATGTGTTGGGTGTAGATTCGATGAACAAGGATTCAGTAATCAACCTCTCTCTACACCTACCTAGATTACTTTTTAGAATTTTAACCCTCTCCCACCCTATTGTGTGGTTGTGTGTTAATGCATGCATTGCAATTGCCGAGCTTTTTTCTAAATTACTTATCTTCTAGGGGTCAACCATTCTTACCTTAGCTAAATTCTTATGTTCTGACAATCTGACTACCCCTGACCTACTAGTTTGACCTATGTAGTTGACCTCACTCAGTCATTGCAGGGTATTTTGTAAATTATATTATTTTGTTTAAATGGGTCCACTGGGTATTTTAACTTACAGAGCTTGTCCTATCTGAGTGAGTTTGTAGGTTTGAATGCCACCACCCTAATTCCTGCTTTATTTAGAATCCTACGTAGGGTCTCAGATGTCCCCTCTTTATATGGTATAACTGTAGATGACTTATATTCATTCTTATTATTACTAGTTTCACAATTATTTTTCTTTTTCTTTTGGCCTTTTTCAATCCTCCTAATGAATTTTATGGGATAGTTAGTTATTCAACACCAACGCCTCTCCTGTCTGTTTTATCCCATCATTTTAGGTCTTTTTTTGTGCTACTTAGTGCCATTGCTCGGTTTGTTAAACACTTAACTAAGTCTGCCTTAACAGTTATAGGATAAGATGAATTAAAGTCTAAATATCTATTAGTGTTTATAGAAAACCATATGACAGGCATCTGACGTGTTGCCGACTGCATTAAATCACAAGTAGTAATTGAATAACGCTGAAAATGATCACTTCGGGTAATAATAATGATAATAACAGCAAAACATCAGTTTAACATGAAAATATCCCAGAACTTACAAGATAATTCAAGGAATTCAACAAATCACCAATTTTACGTGAATAATGTAAGCCTGTATGACTTTTAGCCAGTAGACGTTGAAGTTTTTTCCTGATTAGTAGACGATCAACATTAGCCATCAGCATAAATGCAATCATATTATGCATTACATTGACTAGTAAACAGTCTTCAGCTAATTCCATTTGTTTACGTTTAAGTAAAGATGAATTATGATATTTTGATAAAAGTTCTTTTGGTTGAAAATCCATACCTAAAGATGAGATGAAGCAGGTAAAGTGTGGATTGGATTAAATTATAGGATAAATGTATTTCAAACTTTAATTATTTAAATTTCATTAAATACAACCTTGGAACATTAAGGACAGCAAAAGATGAGCCACACAAAATCGCATAGTTTGTGAAAATCGGTCGGTCGGTCGGTTTTCGACATAGAACTTTGCACATATGTGCAGCAGTTCAAGTCACCACACTCCATGTAGCACACAAAGCAACAGAAGAAAGTAGGAGAAATGCATATTAGAGACAGTAAACAGAGGTGTGAAACAGAGGAATAGTAATAATGGAGAACAAAACAGTTTCATTGGAAATCATAAGTCACAAGGAGTGGATGCATCTGCTCCTGCCATTGAGAACGATTTTGAGCCACATCACCAATTGCATCCAACCATTGGTTTTTACCTTCCCGAGGACCCAAACCAGGAAGTCTACACCTTCCTACGTGGCTTAAACTAAATTTTGTAGATTTCATTGACTGGTGCCATGTTTTCGTTTGACCACCGCTTTTGCAACCTGACCCTATATCAGCTAACATTACCCATTGTCGAGGAAGGTGATCGATGACTAGGCATACGTAACACATGTGGTAACCATCTCAATCGATGTAATTTCACAGCCTCGTTGATTGATTTCCCCTCCTTACCTAGCAATCAATATTGCTCACCTTATTATACCACTTCACGCGGGAGATAGAACGCAGACACCTATGATCGAACATAGCTAATCTTTTCATGTCTTCCACTCTCAATGGCCTGTTCCAAACGCTCTTCATGACACAACAAGTCTTTGAACCGTAAAGGAGAACTTACTTAACATTGGTTGTGTAAATCTGCGAGATTTGCAAAAGATTTCCAAATCGATCTTACAGAGATGATCTGTCTTACCTTCCTTACCCTAGTTTTGAGTTCCTCATCCATTCCGCATATAGTTGACATATATTAGTCGAAGGAAACCTTATCGAACTCAAATTCAAACTCAACAGCCATCACTTTACAGTGGACTCACATTTAACCATACCCCCCCCCCCGTACATTCTGTTCAGTGTGTATTAGTTTATTAGTAGAATTTTCAATTTGCCTGTTACTGATATGTACAATTCAACTGATCAGAGTGATCCCTTTTAGTCCTATAAATCACCACAGCGGAGCCAACAAGTGTCTAAAGACTAATCTATCTGAAGTGATAAAAACCAGTAGTGTCCGTTATGGAAATCTATAGTCTCCATTTTGTTTAATTTCATCGTAGGTGTACTAACGGATATCAGTCTAATCGACTTTAGCGACTTAGGGATCGAATTGTTACCATCAGGGAATAATCTCGTCAACTTAGAGTACGTAATGATATTGGCCTTCTACATGGAGACGATGACAAAATGCAAAGTAAAGTAGGTGAGCGTCTTGACTTGAATAATTGAATTTGTCCCGATGGACTGATTGCTGACGAAATCTCCATAAGGATACAAAAGGCTTGTGCGGCGTCTTCCAACTTAGGCTATCTCAAGAGTGGACGTGATATATAGCTATTGATCAAAAGACATACGTACATACGTACCGAACAGAAGTTCACACTATCCTTCTCTACTGGTGTAAGATATGTCCAATGAAGAGGCTAGCTGTATTTAACCAAGCATTTTTGCCTTTTATGTACCACGTTAAGAATGGTGTAATATAATGAATGATATTGACGTTAGGCGGGGGGGTGGCAGGTTGTTAGGCAAGGAGGGAAAATCAGTTGATTAGGATATGAAATTATATCGATTATGATGCCTAGGATACATGCAATGCTCAATGTCCAGTCCTGCATCAATCACATCGGACTAAGTTGGAAAAGTCAGGTATACTCAAATCAAAACCTGGTATCAGTCCATAAAGACTTTGACAGTTGGTTTGAACCAACCACACAGAGAGGGGTAGAATCTCCAGTTGAGGTTGTGAAGAACCTGCGTTCTATCTCGCGTGTGAAGTGGTATAATAGGGTGGTTGAGTAATATTGAGGTTAAGCTTCGATCGAGTGCTAGGTAGGGAGGGGAAATCAATAGACGAGGCTGTGAAGTTACATCGATTGAGATGGTTAGGCATGTGTTACGTATACCTAGCCATCGATCACCTTCCTCGACGGGTAATGTTAGCTGACAAACATAGAATCAGGTTGGAGAAGAGAAAGTTGTGGCCAAACCAAAATATGGTTTTATCAGTCAATGAAATGCACAACAGCTAGTTTAAGCCAACCACTTTCGGGGGTGTAGACTGGCTTCTTCGTTGGGGTCCTTTGGAATGGTTAAAACCAATGAAGGCTGGAGACAGTTGGTAATATGGCTCAAAGTGGTCATTGTCAATGGCTGGCGCAGATGCATCCACTCCTCGTGACTTATAATACCCAATAAAACTATATTGTTCTTCGATATTACTATTCTTTTTGTTTCATATCTCTGTTTACTGTCTCTATTTTGCATTTCTTTTTACTTTCTTCTCTTGCTTTGTGTGCTACCTGGAGGGCGAGTGGCGACTTGAACTGCTGCACATCTGTGCAAAGTAGTTCAGTCAGGTTGTGAAGAACCAATGGCTTCAGACTTCTAATGCTATGGTTGAAAATCGTTGTCAATGGAACAGATGCGTTCTCACAGATACACTAAATTCTCAAGCTTCGTCACATACTTATTTTTGCATAGAAAAAGAACACAGTTATCAAAATGGAATAATTCTGATGAACTACAGATGATATAATGAGGAAGCACGGTTGATGAAAGATTTTCAAACTAAGTATCAGTTTATTTGTTCAAAACATATTATCTATCTACTAAAGGGAAAATAATTTACATTATAAATACGGGGAAAATTTTAGGGATAAAATAACCATCCAACAACCTAGGTCAAATAAATCACAGCATAATTCTTTCCATCACTGTAAGAGACTCATTATCAAATCATTCTGTAAAAGGTTCATTTGATCTGACAGATATATGCTAGACACCTTGAACATTAAGGATAAGGTTATGTGTTCAATTGACATAGAATCTTTATTCACCAATGTTCCCCTTAATGAAACTGTTGATTTCATTTGCGATTACATCAAAAGCAATGAAATAAATTTACCTATTCCTGTAACTTACATCAGAGACATCATCTTAATGTGTACAGAAAATATTAGATTCACCTTCCAAGAAAAGACATACAAACAAATCAATGGTGTTGCGATAGGTAGCCCACTTGGGCCCCTGTTAGCAGATATTTTCATGTCGAAATTGGAGAGACAAATGCAAGGTGTGCTTGAAGAATTTATGCTGTATAAACGTTATGTAGATGATACTCTCATTATTGGTAATAATAGTAAATCTATTGAAATCCTCATTACCCTATTCAATCATATTCATCCAAATATCCGAGTGACTTCCAAACTAGAATCGGATAACAAACTCGGTTTCCTGGATATATCTATGACTAGGAGAGATGATAGAACGATTCAACGATCTATTTTTCGTAAACAGACATGGAGTGGACAAAATCTTCATTTTATCAGTCTTGTTTCTATCCAGTATAAACGTTCCCTAGTGAAGTGTATGTTCTCAAGGGCCCGAAAAACATGCACGAGTGACACATTGATGGATGAGTTTTGAAATATACATTCAGTTTTATTAGCTAATGGTTATCCAGAAAACCTACTTTATCACTTGTCACAGTAAAGAAAAACCACATCTCGAAAAGACAGCTTCTGTACCAAAGAAAGCTATCTTTATTAACCTACCATTCAAGGGCGACCAGACTATGCAGTTGACAACTCAAAGACTTCGGTCAGCCATCAAACTCACATTCTACGCCACCGCATCACTTTTTCTCATTTGCCGAACATTTTCGATCCCTGTACCTACGATTAAAGGATGAAATTCTATGGACTCTACTTCAAACTGTATCTACAAGTTCACCTGCAGCTGCGGTGACACCTGTATAGGTAGAACCAACAGAATGTTACAATGTCGTTGAAAAGAATATGTTCCAAAATGGTTACCAAATCATATAGAAAATCCCAACGCGATTAATCTGAATAGAAATCCAGCATCATCCATTGCAAAGCACTTATTTGTGTCAGGTCACAAAATCAATATTAATGACTGTTTTACAATTATTTCACATAACTCTAATTCAAGGTTATTGAAGGTGATGGAAGCACTTTGGATTAATCACATACAGCCTAAACTGTTTGTACAAACAGAACGATAGACTTCGATCTTCGCCTACCATGGACAACATGACCTATCTAAATATGATTGGTCATTAGTATGTACTTTTGTTTTTTTTATTTAACTGAGTAATTGTCATGAACTTTATTTTATTATTGTTAACCATGTTAGTTGTAAAGCTGTTGTAAAGAAACTACGAAATGACGATATCATCTCGCCAAATTTTTCTTCTTAATGCCTTATTCTAATTCATAATAATCAGGTCACAAGGAATAAATTTATTTTCAAATAATTAAAACTAACCTAAAATATCTCTCTCCTGGGCAACAGCATCAAGGAATGAATCCTCCCAGAATTGTAAATTTCCCCATAGTTTACTTTTTTGCCATTCAGCATCGAAAACATCTTCAAAAATATACGTCCATGGAACTTTTTTCCTTTGGAATGCTGATGTTGTCATTGTTGATGTTGTCGAGTTAATAGATGGAGTTGACAATGAAGATGAAGATGGTGACGATGATGATAGTGGACACGGAGGAGCTGGAGTTGTCGGTAACAGACTAAGCCTACACATATGTTGTTTAGGTGAATTTAAACACTGTGATTTTTCTTGTTCTACCACCTGAGGAGGAGGAGGAGGATCCGGTCGTTCATCTCGTTCTTCAGCATTAGAGTCATTAAAGTGAAATTTTATTTCAGGACGATAAATAGCTGGTGGTGTACATGTATTAAATGAAGAAGCCGATACAGCATAGGATGTATCAGCACTTTCATACATTGAAATTGGATCCATTGTTAAATCCGTTAGAATTAAGTGAGATTGATGATATCTGAAGCAATTTTAGAAGAAAAAAACACAACACAAACATGAAAAGAATGAATGACAGCAAAGAAGGAGAAATTTAACAATGCCAATGATTTGACTGTTTCTATGCCGGCGGTTATTTCTCAGTCAGATTGTTTCAAAATGCAAATTAGTCAGTCAGTGGTCCTTTCCAAATGGTCTTAAAGTCAATCTCAGGAAATGTTAGATTGTTAACTTCACATTCAGATAGAAAGGCGACTTCTATAGATTAATTCGTTCGCACGATTCTAGTGTCATAGATGGCAGTGAATTTGAAACTAAATTGAATGTTAAATACCTTGCACTGTATATTTCCTCTGATCTTTCCTGATCTTCCCACATCATGTTAGTTCCCAGAAAGTTCCACTTAAGGAAGTTAAGACAACCTGGTATCACTAAGTCTCTACTTTTAAGTATTGAATCTTTACGGATTTTGTTTGATTGGTTGGGGGATCTCATCATGAGCTGACATTAGTTAGAGAACCATTGGAACACCTGAAAGTACTGGACAGCTGTCTCGTCCTAGTTGTGGACTCTTCATCAGTACGCACCCATCAGGGTTTGAACCCAGAACCTTCTGGTTACAAGGTGAGCTCGCATACCATCAAGCCACAGGGGCCCGATTAAATGGCCAGTGCATGAATTCTAACTTCTGCCATTTCACGATATAGCGCAACCGCTAGCCAATGTCTTTGGCGAGTATTTGTTCTCACACCTGACCTGCTGCACCCTACTGGTCACGACTTCCCACTAGAACCCCAGGTAACTACCTAACTGAATAGGGCCAGTCGCCAGTGAGCATCTCATTGATATTCAAGTATTGGTTAATTGTTAATTCTCGTATTCTATCTATCCTCCTTTATTGCTACCTCCATCCACTTAATCTTTCGTAGGTTAACTAAGAAAGACTTTGTTACACTATGTAGGGCACTAAAACCTGTCCGTAGGGCGAGTAGGGTACCGATGCAACAACTTTATCAATACTATTGTAGATAGACACATGGACTTCTGCAAGAAATTAGCAAATATTATCTTGTCAGACTTTAAACACTCTCTATACCCAATTCTCTCTTTGCTACATCTCATCAGGTAGAACTAGAAGTAACTATAGGAGAATATATGCTCAGAGGACTAAGTATAACAACTCTATAATACCTTATTTAGCAGACATTTTGTGCGATGAGGAAAGAGTAAGGCAGGGCACTATTAACTTACTCCGTAATACTAAGTATACGGCTCTCTTTGTTTCGCTTTTTTTCATTATTGTGCTGTTGTTATTATTTTCACTGAATTCGATTATTCATTCGCATTCGCATTCATCAATATTATCAATTTAAATGGCCTGTTTTAATTATTACCCCTTTAATGAGAAAGTTAAATGCAATACAGCACTAAATGCTGAAAATTTTATATTTGTACCAAAAAATACTGTTTGGAACAAAGCTATTATTATTATTATTATTATTATTATTATTATTATTGAAATAAAACGACCTCAAGCAGTTTACCCATGAACTTATCCTTCAAGCAAAATGATTTGCAACAATAACCCTGAACCAACCAAGGACCTATCGCCCAACAAATATGTAGAAGAAAGTGGAGACGGACTGGACACGTGCTAAAGAAACCTCAAAGTAACACCACACCCCAGGTCTTCAAAATTGAACCCAAATAGAAAGTGAGTGATGAATTGAACGTCTAAGACTATGCGAAGAGGAAATTAAAGCTTGTAGTCAGTCGTGAAAATGATAAGAGAGAACCAGCTGCAATGAAGAGGTGTCTCTGGAGCGCATGTATTCCACTGGCAACACAAGGAATAAGTAACAGTAATAATAATTAGTGCTATCACCAAGTATTTCGTTGATTCGCGACGTGAAGTAGACATTTTGAAGTCAGACATCACAACCGGTGGGGTCCATCTAGTCTGCTATGAGAACAGTTACTCAACTGTGACATTTGCTGGAAATTGCGCTAAATATATATCACGAATTGGCAGACTTTAGAATTCATGGACCGCGGGATCCGGTCCCAGTGGCTGGATGGTCTATGAGCTCGCCATGTAACCGGAAGGTACTAAGTCCGGACTCCACTGGGTGAGTACTGATGAGGAGTTCCAAATTAGGACGAGACAGCTTCCCAGTACTCCCTGGCTTTCCAATAATTCCCTAACTGGTATCAACTCACGATCGAACCCCTTCAATTCAATTCTTCTCAAGTATCCATTAGCAAACACCAACTGACCTTTAAAAACTCGATTTGTATGTTCACAAAGAAGCAGTTGCCAGTCATTGTTTGATCTGATAACTACTCAAACTATTAACATTTTCCTTTAACCGGTTACACCATAGTTTGCTTCAAATTCTCTCCATTGGCCTATAAGGAAAGATTACATAACCTGCCAAATTCCTTCTTTTTCACATTTAACTAAAATATTGTATGAGTGGAACCCGAAAGGGAAGCGGCGAGTTGGTCGTCAATGCAAGGGTGACTTGGAGGAGGTCATGTGAAGAGGAGATGAAAACGTGTGGGGAGACTTGGAGGCAGGTGAAAACTCTAGCAGAGAACCGAACGCAATGGAGATGCACGGCTGAAGCCCTATGTTCCTCTAGGAATTAAAGGAAACAATAATAATAATTCTATGATTAAGTAATATTGTTGTATTTTTAAATTTTATTCCTTTACGTTCCCAGTGAGACAAAGGGCTTGAAGCTAGAGCCTTGAAGTTTCAATGGCAGTGATGAAGTTGCTAGCCTCATGCCCAACCTTTACATGTTTACCGGCCTTACTACCGGCTTAAAGAGGTTTAGGAATCCGTCGGCCGGGGATCAAAACTCCAGACCACATGCGTGTCTTGCGAGTATAATAATAATAATAACAGCTTTATTCCAAACAGTATTTGTGGTACAGGTATGGAATTTTCAGCGTGCATTACAATATTACATCTAATTACCTCATAAATTTTATAAGATTTTAAAATCAAAAAGCAACAATAAAAAAGAACAGCATTGCGTTTACATTTTTAAACAATGGCACCACAGGATATGAAATATAAAATTAGTGTGTAATAGAAGATGTGAACAACAATATAATAGTAACAAAGAAAGGAAAACAAAAACTAATGGGAACTATTTGTTAGAGTGCCACAGTAAGTTGATCGTGTCATACCTAACGGATTTCTCATCACATAACAGCTGTGCCAGAGAAGGTATTGTGGAGTTTTTGTACTTGGTAGTCCTATAGCCTCCTATAGCTGCTTCTAGTTCTACCAGATGAAATGCAAGGAGAGAGCTGCGTATATAGAGGATGCTCAGGGTCTGACAATATAGTATTCGCTAGTTTCTTACATGACATTATATGTCTATCCACAATAGTATTAACCAGTTGGTTTAATGATATCCCACTTATCCTACTAACGGCTTTTAGTGCCCTTCTCAGCAAAGCAAAGTCTTTCTTAAGTAGTCCAGGAAAAATTAATGGGGATCAGTAAAGAGGGATGAGTAGAATACAAGAATTGACAAACTGAGAAAGCAAAGACTGCTTTATACCAGACTGCCTTAACTTCCTAACGTAGAACGTTAAGCGAAACATCTTTCTAGTAACTAACTAGCAAGATGTGAGAGGACCAGGAAAGATCGGAGGAAATACTCAGTCCAAGGTACTTGACATGAGATGTAATTTCAACCTCTATGCCATCAATGATAGTGGGGTCATATGAGCTAGCTAGTTGTTGTAGGTCACGTTTTCGTCTGAAAGTGAAATTGACTACCTGACATTTAGACGGATTTAGCTTAAGACCGTTTGAAGAGGACTACTGACTAATTTCCGAGAGAAAGTTATTTAATTTGGTACAGTCTTACCGCTGAACCACCGACGAACTAAAGTAATATTTTAAATGATAATAATAATTATTATTATTATTTATTAACTGACACTTTACCCACTTACCTGTATCCAAAACTCCGCTGACTTTTAAAAGCCGGTAATTCACGAATATACTCCGTCGGAATATCGTTCTCAGTTAATTGGCTCAAAGAATCATGAAGTTTCATAGTTGATGAACTACTAATCAAGTGTTTCCCAATACTTTCATTATTATTATTATTATTATTACGATCATTTCCTGTAGATTTGACACTATTTTCATCACTATCATAACCTGAAGCAGCAGCAGCAGAAGACGCAGCAGTCACAGCTTCATGAGCCATTCTATAGTCATCAGCAGTTAACTTGAAATCCTGTTTACTTAAACTAACACTGTCTGAGCGTAAAAAGTCTTTTGTTGACCGAGTAGAATGATGACGCCGATGATGCTCGTTGTCTTCTCTATCTGATGATGGTTCACTCATTGAAACAATAATATTAGTAAATTCACGACCACGACGAAATGGTTCTAAAGTAGAGAGCAAAATAGAAGAAAAAAACAAATGATAATAGACGCATTTATTCTATACCTCATCTAGAAAAAGACAGGAATCCCCGTTCACATAACATGTGATAATAAGACAACGAATAGATGTGTATACACTAAAAGCACATATTACGTACGATGTATGCAGTCGACTGTTCAGTAGACAATACACAGACAAGATTTTAAAAAACAAACACTTTATTAATAGAGTGAACAAATGACACGAAAAAAAAACACCATAATGATGTAATCACAATTTGCATTCAAATAGATAACAGAGGTAGGTGATGAAGATTCCTGGACAAGAACAACAACAACAGACAACGATCAGCATAAATGGGAGGAACCTGAAAGAAACAACCTCCTTCACCAACCGACCTGGGAAGCATCGTTTCAACTACAGGCGGAACTGACGAGGATATCAAAGCAAGAATCGGAAAAGCAAGACAAGCTTTCACTACTCTCAAGTCTGTGTGGAGGTCAACAACACTCAGCATCAAAAATAAGATCCGGATTTTCAACTCCAATGTGAAGTCAGTGCTAATTACTATACGGATCAGAGACTTGCACTGCGCGTCATAAAGAGCATCTCAAACAAACTACAGACCTTCATTAACAGTTGTCTTCGCTCAATACTCAAGATCAGATGGCCGGCCAGAAAAGATCAGCAATAGTGAGGGATCTCTGGGAGCGAACCAACCAGGAACCGATTGTGAAACAAATAGGCAGGAAGAAATGGAGATGGATTGGACATACTCTGAGGAAACCATCAAGTGACGTCACTAGACAAGCCATTGCTCGAGTGGAACCCGAAAGGGAAGCGGCGAGTTGGTCGTCAGTGCAAGGGTGACTTGGAGGAGGTCATGTGAAGAGGAGATGAAAACGTGTGGGCAGACTTGGAGCCAGGTGAAGACTCTAGCAGAGAACCGAACGCAATGGAGACGCACGGCTGAAGCCCTATGTTCCTCTAGGAATTAAAGGAAATAATAATAAGATAACGGTAAGAGTTAAAGGAAAGATGCTCAAAGGTTCGAGTACACCAAGCAAGCGATTCCAATAAAGAGAGAATCTGAGCAGCTAATTCATCCTTTCTCATGCATCGTGTGATTTATCTTGCGATGGAGTTACTGTGTGGATCTATCATTTTTCAAGCATACTGTGATTTAGTGTGTGACCAGTTCATCGTCCTTCGTCTCACCTTGATCTTTGTTGGATCACCAACCAATGAGAATAGCAATTGTCAGCCAATATAAAAACAATCCATTCTCACGACTGTGAGCCAACTTTATTATGGTAAAGAAAATGTATAAATACGATGTTTTGTTTCCTAATGAATGTATAATACAATATCTTACAGTCACAGGCCAGACTTTGTCTTTTGAAATTTGCGTGGCTCAGTGAATCGGAAGGTACAACGGACAAATAGGCATATTAGCGTGACAGTCGAGTTCATCACCGTTATAGTAATTAACAGGCGCAGACATAACAAAGTAGCCACGGGGTTTATTCAGTTCAGTTCAGTTCATAACATTTTCCCTAACTGAACCTAACTTAATACCAGGCTATAAGTATAAAACTTGGGCACTGTGGTGGTAGAGTATAACACCATTATAGATAAGATTTTATTTTGATAAATCAGACAGTGTTATACAGTACAGTTATATTAACTGATGCACCACGTTTCGAGCACAAATTATTGCCACTCATAATCATATCAAGGCATTACTCACACAACTTTTTACTTCATTTATATACATGAGTGGAATTCATTAGACATTTGAATAAAAATCAATATGGGATAATGTACATTCAGAAATAATAATATGAGTGTTATTAACCAAATACAATCAGATGGGAAATAAGACGAGTGATTTTATAGTCAAAATAAGTAACTTGTTAGAATGTTATGATGTACGTGAATTGAAATAGAATTTTAAGATTATTTATTATCCTCTTCTGATTTGACTGGTGGTAATAATATCTTCCATATCTCTGGTATTTGCATTGAGTCATTTCTATTGCATGTGTTGGGTGTAGACTCGATGAACAAGGATTCAGTAATCAACCTCTCTCTCCACCTACCAAGATTACTTTTTAGAATTTTAACCCTCTCCCACCCTATTGTGTGTTGTTGTTAATACATGCAGTGCAATTGCTGAGCTTTTTTCTAAGTTACTTATCTTCTTGGGGTCAACCATTCTTACCTTATCTAAATTCTTATGTTCCGACAATCTGACTACCCCCGATCTACTAGTTTGACCTATGCAGTTGACCTCACAGTCATTGCAAGGTATTTTGTAAATTATATTATTTTGTCTAATTGGGTCCACCTGGTCCTTTAGCCTACAGAGCTTGTCTCTGAGTGAGTTTGTAGGTTTGAATGCCACCCTAATTCCTGCTTTATTGAGAATCCTACGTAGGGTCTCAGATGTCCTCCTCCTTATATGGTATAATAGTAGATGCCTTATATTCACTCTTATTTATGTTATCATTACTAGTTTCACAATTATTTTTATTTCGCTTTTGACCTTTTTTGATATTCCTAATGAATTTTATAGGATAGTTAGTTATTCAACACCAACGCCTCTTCTATCTGTTTCATTTCACCGTTTAGGTCAACTTTTGTGCTACTTAGTGCTATTGCTCGTTTTGTTAGACACTTAACTAAGCCAGCCTTAACAGACAATGAACGGATGAGATGAATTAAAGTCTAAATATCTATTAGAAAGCTTTGGCTTTTTATAAACGCCACTAGTGTGCAGTTTACCCTCTTCTGTCTGCCTGCTTAATTCACTGAGCCTCTAAATGGTTTTCCCATCTCTTAAAACACTTCAGTAATGCTTCAGTAAATTGAAAGAACATGCAAATCCTTCATTCTACCGTTAACAATCTATGAATAGTACAGACAAATAAAGATGGGTTGGGAAACATGCAAACAACCATTACTATTCTGAATCAAACAATCCACAGTAATAAAGTGATTGCCATGAAATGCAGTCACCTGAAAGACAACATTAAGATAAACACACAACACACACAACATGGATTCATCAAGGGAGAATATTCAACGCCGACGACAATGACAATGACAACAGCTACAACAACAATTTAGATGCTCACTGAATTGCGGTTTAGCATAATGAGTTCTACTGGGAATCACAGGGGAATGATGAAACAAACCCGTTGGAAGAAGTGGTGGGACAGATGATGTTGTAACCATTGTTTGATTCTGCGATTCAACATCAACATCACTATCTGGATGTACAACTATCCTATATTCATCAGGTGTGCCTTTTAATATTGATGATTGAGATAAATTATAACCATTACTATTACTATTGTTATTATTATTACTGTTACTAATTTTATTATTAATACTTTGAATGTTATTATGGAAATATTGATGCACAGACGGTAAGTGATAGTGTTGTTTCAAGTTATTCGATAGCTTGCATGACATACTAGTGTAGATTTCATTAAATTGACTACTGGAACGATCCACTTTCATTTTAAGATCTACAAGTTTATTTGAAACATTCACTAGATCAAATGTATTCTCTAGTGACTTTATCGATTTTGATATGTTGGTAATATGATGAAAATTAACATGTGTATTACTATTATTATTATTATTACTACTGCTATTCACTGAGTTCGAGTTGATGTTATTCTGTTGATGAGGCTGAGAATGCCTATGCGGTGATGACTTTAACTTTGAATTATACTGTTGAGGTGATATAGTATGACGTCGAGTTGTCAAAGAAGATGATGAGGAGACAGAAGATCCAGGTGGTGTTAAGCTATTTTCACTAACTGAAATGCAATCAATCAACAGTCAGAAATAATAGTAACAGTAATTAATAAATAAGAATTACAATAATCAGAAAGCAATACAATTCAATTAAAGTTTACATAAACACAAAATATTGTTATTCTTTGTTTTGTTTTCTGATCTACTGAATTCAAATTGGAATAAGACGGCCTGAGAGCTTCTATAAAATCCTATGGGAGAGCACATCCTTCTTAGGATACAAAACTAGGTGCATCCAGAGTCATGGAATCGAGGTAAACATGAAGTATTAGAATGATGTCAAAGCATACTCTCCTACAGGCTCCAAAATACACCAGTCTGAATGACTACCATTAGGATATCAGAGTTAGGACGAAGTATTTCTGATACAATAGGAGGCCATATTAGTTTGTTTATTAGATGTATCACACGCAGTGTGAAACAGTATTATTTACTGGATGACGTTTCGAACAAAATTTATTACTGTTCATAATCATGTCATCAATTATAATCACACGACTTCGAAACTTGAGTTTTATAGTTTTCTTTGTTTTCTCCTATTTGTCGTAAGGGTAGTAGAATTTTCCAGATATCTAACTGGACAGGTGTTGAATCATTCCTATTGCAGGCACATATTTGCAGTTGATTCGATAAACAAAGCTTCGTTATCAATCTCTCCCTCCACCCCATTACATTAGATTTTAAAACTGTCATCTTATCCCATCATCCTATTGTATGGTTGTGTGTAATTGCATGTAGTGAGTGTTATAGCTGAACTATTCTCTAGATTTCTTATCTTATTCGGGTCAACCAATCTAGATTTTGCTAGGTTTTTATGTTCAGCTAGTCTGATCTGCCCCTGTTCTACTAGTTTGACCTATGTATTTGACCTGACAATCATTGCAGGCAGGGTATTAGATAAACTAAATTGTTTTGTTTTAAAGGCTCCACTGTCAGGATCCTTTAACCGACAAAGCTTGTTTCTAATTGAGTTTGTGGGAACTACTTACTTACTACCACAGTGCACAAGGAGGCCATATATATACTAGCATGAAAGAATGAAGATGCCAATTTTACATTTTTTTTAACACTGAAGCCTTCTGACTAGATATGACTATCAAACAATATTTACTGCCTGTCACAGATGTCGCAAGACTTGTTCTTTGGAAACTGGTGAATCCGGAGGGGAAGGTACTACAACCCAGGTAAGCGACCTACCAATGTGTCTCTGCATATATGGTTCAACCTGGAAGTAACAAACTATAAAAAAAATGTGCATAAAACACAACAAATATTTTGTTAGCCTCGCGCCCAAACTTCCCTCTTTAGCCGGCTTACTACAGGCTAAAAGAGGTTTAGAAGTTAATAAGCACTGGAGATCGAAATGAGTGAGGCCTAAGTGAAACTACTTGAGGCGGAGAAATCTACTAGTGAACTGTTGACGCATAATATACTACAGTTAATTGAAATAGCTAAATAAAAAAGATATAAGACAGGTGATGATTAAAGATGATTGATCACAGGCTGACAGCAGTTACAGAACCATTGAAAAGCCTATGAGTACTAGACAGCTGTTTCGTCTTAATCTAGGACTCTTCAATAGTACGCACCTACCATCAGAGTTCGAACTCAGGACCATCGGGTCACAAAGCGAGCTCGCAGACCATTCAGCCACTGGGACCAGATCCAATTGTCCATGAATTCCAACTTCTACTAATTCGAGACGTACATTTAGTGCAAACGCCAGCCAGTGTCACGCGGAGTAACTGTCCTATAACCCGACTTGGTGGACCCCGTCGGTTACGACTTCTCAGTGGTCGAATAATCTGCGAGCTCGCCTCATAACCGGGAAGTCCCGGGTTCGAACCCTGGTGGGTGCCCAAACTAGGACGAAACATTTGTCCAGTACTTCCAGGTTTTCCGATGGTTCTCCTGATCAATCCTATAACCATTCAAATCCCTGAAAATTGACACCTGATGATTTAATATGAAACGGAAATCTGAATCACGGCAGGATTCGAACTAGCGGCCTCAAAATTACTAGTCTGGCGGTCTACCGGTCAGGCTGCGAAATTCATGATAACTTCAATGAAATACTGATGACGATGGCCTGAGCTTGGATAAATTGAGTGAGATGATCAGATCTTAAAACACGCACAAAAACACACGTTTAACCACAGAATATATATATATATATACCCTCATAATCGTAAAATTTATTCTATACACATGTGTAGGCACACATACATAGGAAGGAATATTCGCAAATTCCACGCGAGGGTGGGGAAAAATAAACGCAAGAGGCTGACTACCAACCCCGTATATAGTAAAACACTAAATCGATGTGAATTATACAATAATATATGAAAACCGTCAGCAGCGCATTTTCAAATACGCTGAAGCAATAATAGCCATCCATAAAAAAAATAATTAGGCCCCTCCTTCCAACTGTGTATACAAAAACAATTTATGCTTACGTTTAACCTACTCTGGTAATCTTTGTGGAATTATATTACCAAACAAAATAGGGTTAATTGTTATCCTACTTATCCTTGAGTCGTTTATTACTTTATTTCGGATAATGGTGACTAATAGTTGGATCCAGAATTGGCATTCCGCCTAATTTGGTGGAACACACACAAGCTAGGAGGTGCTTGCATCGCCAATCCTAAAAAGGACACTAAATGACCCTATTGGATTCCCCTGGCAGTTCAAACATCATCGAAACGTCCATATATATACTTACAGTCACCATGTCAACAAAAATCAAGTATTTCGATTCTACGCAATCAAATCAACGAGAAATATGTACAGTGTTAGTTTAAACCCTTAGAATTTTGTTTATTTTAAATGGTCTTTCATTTCTTTTACGTATAAATCTATTTGACAAGTAGATATGTATGTGATTAGATTGTGTTTGATGTAATGTATTGTGAAAGTACATCGTCACACTGCTTTCTGATTAAGATCCCGTCTTTTCTTAATAATCATGTTTATCCAAATATAAGCTTTTAGTGGGAGAACGGTAAGAAAAAAAAAGACAATCTCACCTGTTTTTGGACTTCTGTTGTACGACTCAGAATCCGATAAGTCTAGTCGATTACTCTAAATAGGAAAATGAAAAGTAGGAAGAGGTTAGAAACAAATTAAAGTGTATTGCATCACTGATATAACACACCCCCTATAAGTAAAAATATGATATGCATGCTATATATACCATAAAGCACAAAATTGGTACCCTGTGGACATCAATCTCACAGTTTATGCGTGGGCTGAGATACTGTCTGAACGAACAGACAGAAACATGTGGATGTCTTAAGGAGGCATTCCCTTCCCGAGTCTTTGACTTAAATTCTAATTCATAAGACAGTGGAGCTACCTTCCCATGGTTGACGGTATCCAAAGCACGTTCATATGGCATTCTAACCAATCGGATTCTGGAGCTCATGTTCATCATAGGTTTGGAATCAGGGTTCTCCTTCTCCCCCTAGTTAGAATACTATGTCCACCAGTATGGTGTTCGTAAGCGCCAGACTATGGCATTTGTTCTTTCATTTTGTGAGGAACTCAGCATCTTCGCCGCATGAAGGCAGTGAACAGGACTTTGACTAATAGAGGCTATGAACTCGCGACCATATGAGAGCATTTCGAGAGGAAGACTGGAGTCTATGCATCCTCAGCCTTACCAGGTCGTTTATGCTTTGCAAAGGTGAAGGAACAGTGGTGCTCACTAGTGACTGACCCTATTCACGAAGTTAAACCTGGGGTTCTAACGGGAAGCTGTGACCAGTAGGGTGCAGCAGGTTGGGGGTGAGGACAGTTACTCAACGAAAAAGACATTGTGAAGTGGTCGCGCTATGTCCTGAAATGGCAGAAGTTAGAATTGATGGACCATTGGATTGGGTCCCAGTGGCTTAATGGTCTACGAGCTAGCTCGCTTTATGACCAGAAGGTCCTGGGTTCGAACCTTGGCGGTGGGTGCGTACTGATGAAGAGTCCCCAACTAGGAAGAAACAGCTGTCTAGTACTCCCTGCTGGTTTTCCAATGGTTCTCTAACTGATGTCAGCTCACGATAAAATCCTCCAACCAATCAAACAAAATTCCCTACAAAACCGATACTTGAAAAGAAAACACAGCTTGGGACTAAATATGAAAAAAGGGTACATTTTATAGCGATTAGTTTTTATTATGAACATCAATATTATGTCAGAAGAACTGTCTTCTTTTTTGTTTATAACTGAAGTCCACTATTATTGTAACATAAATGGATGTGACTAAAACGGGATCTTTTGACAGATGAATAAACACCACTATTTATAGACCAAATGCTTTCAGCTGTATTTTTTTCCTTAGAATCAATATCTCAGTGAGATGAGGGTGAATATCGCTCATGTAACATTCATTATGAACTGGAGATTTAGCTTGTAGTATTTTGAAATCGTTAACTGTATCAACTGCATGATGTAGCGATAATTGAATAACGCTTTAGGCTTAAATAGACACTAGTTTGACAAAGTGTGTCCGAAAATGATGTCTGTCTCTGTCTGGATTCAACATAGAACTTGGCACCGAAGTGCAGCAGTTCCAGTTGCCACGTTCCAAATAGCACACAAAGGTAGACAAGAAGAAGATGAGTGAAGAGAATCAATAGAGTTTTAACAAGTATAAGAGTGAAACAGAGTGAGTAATGGTAGAAAGGAATATGAAAGATTACACAAGAGACTGAATACATCTGCGTAAGCCATTGACAACGATTTTGAGCCACGTCACCTATTGTCTGTTTCCAGCCATTGATTCTTAGAGTCCCGAGGGCCCCAACCCGGAAGTCTTCATTTCCCTACCTGACTCAGTTTAACTGTCAAGGATTTCATGGATTGATGAGGCCATGTTTTTGTTTGGCCACCACTTACTCTTTTCCAACCTGCACCTATATCAGCTAGTAATGCCCGTCCGTCGGGGGAGGCGATGGTTAGGCATGCGCAGCACATGACCTAGCCATCTCAATCTATGTAACTTTATAGCCTCGTCGATTGATTTTCCCTCTTTGCCCAACACTCTACGCCTAACGTCAACATTACTTACCTTATTATACCACCTAACGTGAGAAAGAGATCGTAGACATCTATGATCAAAAACAGTCAACCTTTTCATGTCTTCAGCTCGTATTGGCCATGTTTCAGAACCATAGAGAAGGACGGAGCGAACTGCTGAGCAGTACACACGTCCCTTGGTTGATAGCCGGATGTCACGCCTACGCCAGAGATGGTGTAAGTTAGCGAAAGCAGCTCGAGCTTTTTGGATCCGTGCTGAGATTTCGTCACCAATCAATCCGTTGGTGCTGATACAACTTCCCAAATAGGTGAAGTGGTCAACATGTTCTATCACTTCACATCCCTATCACTAAGCTAGGAGTTGACGTAGTCCAGTCCTTTAGCAGCATCTTACATTTTACAGAAAATGATGTCTGCACTATCCCATATACTTATTTGCCACTGGACAAAGCGATGAGATACAATCTGAATTCACTTTACCTCACTTAAAATGATTAATTCAAAGTGAGACTGTTATGAAATGTAATCAGCTATACACAGTGACGAGTTATGGTGCGGAAAAGTGAACCAATTTTACGATTTTTCATAGACTCACTAGGATTTATAGATATTTTAGGCGGAAATAAAGATGAGGCTACTGAAAGCGGTTGCATTCCTGACCGATAGCTGCTACCATGACGTGGTGATGGTCGTTGGGCTAGCACATCACAATGAGTCAACGAGTTATACTGGCTGGAACAAGTGTTCCTGCAGGTCCTGAAATACTAGAAAGGTCGCTTGGATAGCGTTTAAACTAAAAGCAGTTTTGTGTAAGTCGTCTACACTATGTTGGCTTTCTCTAAGCACAAAGTCTCACTACTCGTGAAAAGGCATGTAATAATGGTAAGTTATGCTACCTCTCCGCTCCGAGGAGAGGATGTCAGGAGAAGGGTGACTCTGAAAACTGTACATCCCGAATAACCCTGAGGCGGTCCATAGCCAGTAATAAGGTCTGCATACGGACACAACTCCGAAAGCCACTTTAAACACGCCGTGTGTGACCAGCCTCATACAGTTGTCCCTTGCGCTGTGGAATCACGCAACACTAATGCTCCTTCTGTCTCACGCACTCTTAGATGAACTTTCAGTCACGGTGGCGTTTCTTTGGAGTAGAGTTGCTAGTCTAACTCTCAATCTTCCTTCTTTTCCATGTTCGCCATCCGTTAAGAGAGATTCAGGAGTACGACGGGGGTTGAGAATAGAACGCGAACCACGTGTAGTGTACATCGACGTACAATGAAAGTTCTAACGTTGAATACTAGAAATAGCTGACTGAAAAAGCAATCATTATTCCTTGAAGAATCCTAAATTTTATACACTCTACTTGAACAGACATGAGTCGGCGGCACATCGGTAGAATGCTCGCCAACCATGCAGGTGGTTCGGGGTCCGATCCCCGGCCACCGACGCACTCCTTTACTGGCAAAGACGGAAGGTTGGGCTTGAGGCTAGCAACCCTATCCTGCGAAAATAGTCACCACTGCTATCGAAACTTCAAGCCTCTAGCTTGAGGCCACTTAGAACGTAAAGGAATGAAAAAGAAAAACTTGAACAGATAAAAGACAAAATTTGATTACAGAAATCTTTTTTTTTGAATACTCAACACACGAATTGTACTATTTCTCATCAGAGATTTTGTTACATCATAAAAAGTAATGTTAAACATAAAAAAAACTTACCGGATAATGAATAGTTGGAATAGCTCCACTACTCATCAATTTACTTTTTGATACAGGTGATCTCATCTCAGCTATCGGTGTAGTTGGCATACTATTCCAAATAATTTCTGGAGAAGCAGTAGTTGTTGTAGGATTACCATGACTTGAACGATTCGGTAATCGATAAAAGTGTGTATGTGCTATTTCCATTAACATGAATGCTGAAGCAAAACCACCAGTTTTTTGTACACCTGTAGAGAATCCGAATCGACCAGCGCTCAATGTTGTTTGAATATTATTATTATAATTATTATTACTAAAATTATTTCGTGAAGGAGATTTATCTCTATGCATACGATCATAATGATTTGTAGTTGGAAAGGTGATATCTGAACGAAAACTGTACTCTAAACCGGTGATCATTTGTTTAAGAGCCCAAACAAGTGCTTTGTATTGATTCCAATGTTCAACAGGCTAATTGACAGAAATGAGAAGAAGACAATGTAATGACTATAGACTAACAATAACAATAATATAAATTAGATATATTTAAAAAGTGGAGGAAGCGGCCCCAGAGACCTCAGCGGATATGCTCACACCATTATTGCAGAAGGTGTGGAAGGAAGATAAGGTACCTTTTCAAAATCCCAATGTGAAGGACAAGCTAAGCCTCTGCATGATTATTATTATTATTATTCCCTTGGGTTCCTAGTGGAACATAGAGCTTCAACTACACGTCTCCACTTGCTTCTGTCTTCTGCTGTACTTTTCACCTGCATCCATGTTAATCCATACTGTTTCAGCTCCTCTTCACACGATCTCCTCCATGTCACCCTTGCACTGACGTCCCACTCGCCGCTTCCCTTTCGGGTTCCACTCGAGCACTGGCCTGACGCGCGATGTCACCCAGCGGCCTCCTCAGCGAGTGTCCAATCCATCTCCACTTTCTCCTGCATATTTGTTGAGCGATTGGTTCTTGTTTTGTTTGTTCCCATAGTTTCTTGTTGGTGATTCTTCCCGGCCGGCCATCTGATCTTCAGTATAGAGCGAAGACAGTTGTTGATAAAGGTCTGCAACAGGCTGTTGGAAATATTCTTTGTGACCTGCCGCCAAGTTTCTGATCCGTATAGAAGAACTGACTGACTTGACGTTTGTATTGAAAATCCGAATCATTTTGTTGTTGATGCAGGCTGAGTGACGAAGATTTCCAGATTGGTTTCAGGTTGATGAATGTGTTTCTCGCCTTTCCGATTCTCGCTCGATTTGACATCCTCGTCCGTTCCTCCTGTAGTTGAGACAATGCTCCCTAGCTAGATAAGTGAATGAAGTAACCTCTTTCAAATCCCTCCCGTTGATGGTGATTGGCGCTGGATGTTGTTGCTGTTGTTGTTGTTGTTGGTTGGTTGGTTATTTTCATAACCTCCGTCTTGTCTATGTTCACCTGGAGTCCTGTCTTCTCTGGCTGCTTCTTCGACCAGTTTGTCGGTTTTCGCTTGTAAGTCTTCGATTTTGTGTGACATCAAACATAAATCATCCGCGAAATCCAGGTCTTCTAGATTCTTCACGTCGTGAAATCATGCTCATGTCCACCCAAATAAAACTATTAAGTCACATCATCCTGAAGAGACCAGACAGAGATGCTATGAATTCGAAATTCCACCTAGAACAAGCTTGATTCAGGGAAAACAAATCATATACGGATCAAGTTATAGCGCTCGCTACACATCATCACTGGACAAAGAGTAAAATATCTGTCAAGTGTTCACCTCGACTTCATCGATTCAGAGAAAGCCTTCGATAGCGTCAAACGTAAAGTAATTCGGAAACTGATTCAACAACACGTAGGAGGGCCCCAAACCATTATAAACCATATTCAACAGCTAGTTTTATGATGACGCAACATGTCAAGTGATTTACAATAGAAAGCTCCGGAAGCCTTTGTGTAAAGACAGAAGTAAGACAACGCCTTCCCCTATCACCAATGTCCTTCCGCGCTAAAGTGAAACGAATAATGCAAAGACACTAGATGATCTAAACTTCACAGATAATTTATGTTTAATGCCGCACAAACTCGAAGAGCTACAGGTAAAAACCAACAAGTTGGCAGAAAAAGACAGCAAAGATACGATTCCAAATGGACGTAGAGAAGACGGAGGGGATGAAGATGCACACCCGGTGGTAACAACAAGCACCACATACCATCGACAGGAGAAATCTAACTGAAATTGTCTGTTTCGCTTACCAGACCTGGACAAAATAGTTTCAACTATAAGCTGGCAACATGGATGAAACTGTCAAAGTCAGGTTAAGATCGGCAAAATCGATACAGCCGTTCGTTAATCTGAAATTGGTGTGGAAGTTAACAGCAATCAGCACAAGAAACAAGATCCCAATTTTCAAAACTTGGGACATGTGTCGTCAACAACACTCTCAGTAGGCTATTGCGAAATTTCCTCAGTATCTACCTTCGTTCGATACTGAAGATCAGGTGGTCAGGGAAGATAAACATCTAGGAACCCTCGTAGTAAACAATCCCAAAAACATAATGTCCAACAAATATGTACAAAGAGGTAGAGGTAGATTAGACATATTCGGAGAAGATTGTTGTATGAAGTCACGCCACAGGTCCTCTAGTAGTACCCGAATCGGAGGCGATCAGTTGGGCGTGTGTCTAAATGTTACAACGAGGAGAGATCATGTAAAAAGGTGGAATAAAAGCTTGTGTTGGAAGTTCTGGAGTCGGCTAAAAAGAGTTCAGCTTAGAACAGAGTGAAATCGCGATCTGCTACTGAAACTCAATGTTCCACTCCGAACTCAAAGGAATAAATAATGTTATAAAATAAGTACATAAAATAGAAACGATCGAAAGTAGAAATAAAATACTATAATAATAACAATAATAATAATTAATAATAATAGAACAACAGACTTATCATACCATATCATCAATATGTTGTTGATTAAATCGTACATCATTTTCTAAATTACGATTAATCCGTGCAATTAGTAAATTGCGATAATTCTCATCTTGTAACAGTGTAGAAATATGATTACGTGAAAATATATTTGGTATACGACCTTGTTTTATAGATCGAGCTAAATCGATAATTGCACGTTCATTTTCTAATCTGAAAAAACAAGGAGCAAATGATGGGGAATACATGTAAATAAATTCAGGGATATAATTTTAATATATATATATATATATATATATATATATAATTGTATTATTGTTTCCTTTAATTCTTAGAGGAAAATAGGGCTTCAGCCGCACCTCTCCATTGCGTTCGGTTCTCTGCCAACATTTTCACCTGCCTCCACGTCTGCCCAGATTCTTACATCTCCTCTTACCCTAACCTCCTCCATTTCACCCTCGCACTGACGACCAACTCGCCACTTCCCATTCGGGTTCCACTCGAGCGATGGCCTGGCGTGTGATGTCACTCACTTGATGGTTTGTTTTCTCACAGTATGGCCAATCCACCTCCATTTCTTCCTGCATATTTCTTGCACAATTGGTTCCTGCTGTGTTGGTTCGTTCATCGCCAGAGACCCCTGTTGCTGATCTTTTCTGGCTAGCCATTTGATCTTGAGTGGTATTGAGCGAAGACAGCTGTTGATGAAGGTCTGTAGTTTGTTCGAAGTGCCCTCCATGACGCACAGTGCAAATCTCTAATCCGTATAGTAGAACTGACTTCACATTGGAGTTGGAAATCCGGATCTTATTTTTGATGCTGAGTGCTGTAATCTTATAATAATTATACATAAGATCGCAGGAAATATTAAAAGGACGATTGCAGCAAGGCAAATTGTCTTTTCGACGAGATTATCAACTACGCTGTGCATTCGTGTATCTATAATAAGTGGGTGAGAAAGTTCCATAACTATTTCCGGTCACGGATCAAATTAATAAAATTGCAATTAGGGATTAAAAACGTGACAATAACCAAATAGGCAGGAAGATTTGATAAGAAAGGTAATAGAATAATCACAACTGAGAGAATTGACTTTTTATGATAGCAATGGTAGAGACAACAACGGTTGGACGTGTTTCCTTTGATGAATACATAGCGTGGGTTTAAAGTTTTGGATTGCTAGTGCCTCAGCTACTCCCAAATGCCTCGGTTTCATTCCCTTTGAGAGGTTTGATAGGATCTTATTTATAACTTTGAAGGACTTTTCAAATGGAGCTGAATATCCTAAGTTCACCAATTGTTCTGTTACTGAACTGTATACACTCTTGAGTTCTCCTTTTGCTAGCCAGCCATGGATAGTGATCCTGAGCGTATTTTACAAACGGACGCATGTTACGGCCAATGTACTCAGCTCCAAATGAGCAAGTGAACACATATATGCATGTTGAAGTTGATGAATTCGTCGAAAAGAAACTTTTCTTCACTGCAGCCGTCTTTTTTAATATTTCCTATGATTAACAGCTCACATGCTCAAAACTATTCTGGTTTAAAACTCTTTGCAGCTTTGTGAATCATGTGTAACTTTAAGCCTAAGGACCTAGTAAACTTCCCTTAAGTCAGCATAAATGTTACCTACCTTAGATATCGCTGAATCATAAAACCAAATAAACGTCGCCTAGTCTACTATTTCACTAGACGATCATAAGACCTCAAGAAAGGGGAAGGACTAGATGTCGGCTTAACGACCATACGCCAGAAAATTAACCCAATCGCTTAGAAACATACTGAGGAAACAATTGAATGATTTATCACATGTGACGTCATCAAATAAAACTCAAATGAGGAACAACAAGTTGGGCATCCAAGGATGACACGACGGAGATCATGTGAAGAGGAGATGAGACCCTATGGGCAATCATTCAACCAGCTAAAGTGGACTGAAAAGAACACAATGGAAGGCATCAGTGTCAACAAGCCTCTCCGTGCTACATTAACCAGTCAGTTACTGAAAACACCAACACATCGTTATCATCATTGTCAATGTATTCCAAAAATTGATCAAGGTTTTTACAGTTCATACAAAAAAGTTTTCGCGCTTTGCTTCAATTTTTAATTTAAAAGTACTAAGTTGAAAACTACTCTCTAGAATAATTTCCACATGAGTTGTTTTTGCTTTTAAAAGCAATTTTTCAAAAAAGAATAAAAAACAGAGAGAAATTCCAAAATGTCCAGATTGAAAAACAACAGCCGTCCCTTCTATTAAATCATACCTCTTTCCGCTTTTATTTTACTTACTTCCGAAATACGTTTCTCCACAATAAAAACTAGAAAATTATACACCTGATTTCTTCTTGATAAATTCCGACAAAGCAATCAAGAATAAATTTGCTTTAGAGGTTCAACCTCACTTGGTGTTTACCAGTTCACTAATCTACTTAACTGATCCGAAGCGTGGAAGACAAGGGAAGGACTAACAATCCTACTACAGGAAATCAACAACAATCGTTGTATGAAACTTCAACGTGTAGGCAAAAAATTAAAAATAAACCTTTTCACTTCACTAGGATCAAAGAGACGGAACAACGCAAGCTGGTGAAAGTCTTCGGGAAGCCAATCATCCCATATGTCTTCTACAGATGAAAGCAACAAAAAGCATGGACATATGGAATGTTCGCACAATGTTTCAAACTTGGAAGGCTACTCAGATTACCACAGAGATGAGGATATATGGTATATGGGTCCGGAGAATCTGTGAGATCTCAGATATTATGGAATTGGACTCTTCAAATTGTCAATAACTTATCAAGGCAGCATCATTTCTATTACAGCCAATACGGATGCAAATGTGAAAGGTAGGATGGAAACCTCCTGAGCCAAACATAAGGAAAAAAGTTTCGAATTTTCAACACGAATGCCAAATCAGTTCTCCTATATGGTTCAGAGACTTGGCGCGTGCATCACTACAAGGATTATAAACAGGCTGTCTCCGTCTGGATTCAACATAGAACATGGCACCGAAGTGCAGCAGCTCGAGTTGCCACGTTCCAAATACCACACAAAGGTACATAAGAAAATGAGTGAAGAGAATCAATAGAGTTTTGACAACGATAAGAGTGAAACAGAATGAGTAATGGTAGAAAGGAATATGAAAGTTTACAGAGACTGAATACATCTGCGTAAGCCATTGACAACGACTTTGAGCCATGTCACCTATTGTCTCCAGCCATTGATTCTTAGAGTCCCGAGAGCCGAACCCAACCCGGAAGTCTGCATCTCCCTCCCTACCTGACTCTGTTTAACTGTCAAGGATTTCATGGATTGATGAGGCCATGTTTTTGTTTGACCACCACTGACTCCCTCTTTTCCAACCTGCACCTATATCAGCTAGTAATGCCCGTCCGTCGGGGGAGGCGATGGCTAGACATGCGCAGCACGTGAACTAGCCATCTCAATCTATGTAACTTTATAGCCTCTTCGATTGATTTTCCCTCTTTGCCCAACACTCTACGCCTAACGTCAACATTACTTACCTTATTATACCACCTAACGCGAGAAAGAGATCGTAAACATTTGTGGTCAAAAACAGACAACCTTTTCATGTCTTCAGCTCGTATTGGCCATGTTTCAGAGCGAACTGGTGAGCAGTACACACGTCCCTTGGTTGACATTCGGATGTCACGCCTACGCCAGAGATGGCGTAAGTGAGCGAAAGCAGCTCGAGCGTTTTGGATCCGTGCTGAGATTTCGTCGCCAATCAGTCCGTTGGTGCCGATACAACTTCCCAAATAGGTGAAGTGGTCAACATGTTCTATCACTCCACTCCTTATCACTAAGCTAGGAGTTGACGTAGTTCAGTCCTGTAGCAACATCTTACATTTTACAGATGCGAATCGCATAAACAGGCTACTGCAGAGTTTTATCAACAGCTGTTTTCGTTCGATAATGAAGATCAAATGGTCAGAGAGGATTAACAACAAAGAACTCTTGGAACGAATCAACTGACAACCTATCGCACTACAAATATATAGGATGAAATAGAGATGGTTTGGACAAATGTCGAGGAGACCATCAGGTGACATCTCATGGCAGGCCATTGCTCGAGTGGAACTCGTAAAGGGAAACGACGGATAAGGGATGGGTCCGAAGTACATATGAAGAGGAGATGACAGCCTATCCGTAATCGTGGAAACTAAAGGACTAAAAAGGACTAAAAGGACTGTAGATAATGAGATATAATGGAAATTTTCTGTTGAAGCCCTATCTTCCGCTCGGAATCTAAGGGAATAATCACATAATAATTGCATTATCACGCATATTTATGATTTCAACTCAGTAAGCTGATTATGAACTATGAATTTCTGTCTTCTCTTCCGCTTCTAAAATCCCGACACTTTCCAAATAAACTGACAACGACCTGAGCTATAAAGATGGATGTTCACATCATTGAATCGCTAATCTACAACGTTTTCATCGCTATCACACTAAGATTAAAGGAGATTATTGTCATTCTTTTATCACTATTAAAATTCTTCATTGATTTTTTCTGCATAGATGTCACACACACAAACACGCAAAAGCAGTATTATTTACTCGACAACTTTCCCAACACAACTGATTATCGTTCATATTCATAACAACACTTGTTAAGGTACCCAACTTCGAAACGTGACTTTCGGTAGCTCACATATTCTATCCTCCTATTTATCGTATGAAGGGCAGTAGAATTTTTCAGTTATCCGAACAGACAGTTTTTGCGTCATTCCTATCACGCATATTCTCATATGACTGTATAATAAGTAAAGCTTCAGTTACCATTCTTTCTCACCACTCTGTTACACTGGATTTTAAGACAGTCAAGTTGTCTCATCCTATTGTATAGTTGCCTGTAACAACACACAGTGCTATAGCTGAGCTGTTTTCTAGACTTCTCATCTTATTAGAATCAACTGAAGGAAATTTCGCCAGGTGTGTTTGTGCTTCACCAATAGAATTGACTCCGGCCCGCCATTTTGACGTTTATATTTGACATCACAAGGATTGTAGGATATTAGATAAAGTCAACTATTTTGAGAAACATAGTTTATTTCTGAGTGAATTTGTGGACATGAATACCACTTTTATATCTGCCTGGTTGGGAATGCTGCATATGACTCTGAAGCTTCTCTCCTTGTATTCCAGGACTATTGATACTTAAGATTTCTGATTGTTGGTGTTGTCATCTTTCTGTGTATGCCTTCCATATTCAGAGTCCTTATTGTTATTAACTTTATTCCCACAACCGCCTACATACTGCATGATTAATTTGTCGAGGTAATTATTAGGTGTCAAAACTTCTCTTAAATGTCTTATTTCCTGTCTTGGATTCTCTTTCGTACTATTGAGTCTTTTCGTCCTATGAATTAAACATTCCACTAATCCTGCTTTCACTGACATAGCGTGGGATGAACCGAAATATGAAATATCGGTTTGAATATGTGGGTTTTCTATAAACACACTAGTGTTTAACTTTCCATCTTTTATTTTTCTTATGATGTAATCCAACACTGAAAGCTCCCCTCTGTGACTTTCTAACTCATAAGTAGACTGAATTGAACCTACAGTTGAGTTGATGTGTTCTACAGATGTTCAGACAGACATATGGAAAATTCCAATGCCCTGGTCACGCAAAGTAGGAAGAAAGAATAAGGACTATAAAGATCAAGTTTCAACGTTGTGTAGTTGCACGGTCAATGTCATGATTATGAAAGATAATAAATTATGTTCGGATCTTCATCATCGAACAAGTAAATAACATTGTTTTACTGTGTGTGTGTGTGTATGTTTGCGTGACATATTTCCAATCAACAAATTTATATGGAATTACATATTACCATAGTGGCGTGTAACGAAAAGGATTTCCAACAAGCTGTAGACTTTTATCAACAGCTACTCCCTTCGCTGGCTTCATACTGAAGATCAAATGCCTGGAAAGAATTAGTACTAAGAAACTGTGGGAACAAACCAACCGAGAACCGATCGCTCAACAAATATGTAGGAGAAAATGGAGATGGATTGGGTATACATTGAGGAAACCGTCGAATGATATCGCACGCCAGGCCATAGCTCGAGTGGAATCCAAATAGGAAGCGACGAGTGCGTCGTCCTAGGGTGACATGGAGGAGATCGTGTGAGGAAGAGATGAGAGATTATGAGCAAACGTGGACACAGATGAAGAGGATGGCAGAAAATAGAACAAAGTGGAGATGTGTTGTTGAAGCCTTATGGTCCACTTGGAACCCAACAGAATAATAATAATAATGCCCAATTTGTAGACAACCTCGCTTAGATTACTAGCTCGCTAGTTTTCTAGCCGGTCCCAAGCCCGGATAAAGAGGGAGGGTTGGGGCGTGGTGCTAGCAACTCCACCCCCAAAACTTAACCAAATTGCTACAGAAACTTCAACACATAAATATATTAAAAATACTAAAAATATAAACAAAAACCTTATTTTTCGCTGGAATCGGGGAAGTGAAATGACGCAGGCCAGTGAAAGCCTTCAGGAAGCCAGTCAGTCACCCAACAAATATGCAGGAGAAAGTGGAGATGGATTGGACACTCGCTGAGGAGGCCGTTGAGTGACATCGCGCGTCAGGCCATAGCTCGAGTGGAACCCGAAAGGGAAGCGGCGAGTGGAACGTCCAAGGGTGACATGGAGGAGATCGTGTGAACTGGAACTGAAACAGTATGGACTAAATGGATGCAGGTGAAAAGTACAGCAGAAGACAGAAACAAGTGGAGACGTGCAGTTGAAGCCCTATGTTCCACTAGGAACCCAAGGGAACAATAATATTAATAATAATTTGTAGACATTTATCATCATCCAAATATATTAACCTCCAACTAATTGATAGCTATTTGATGGATGTCTTAAAGCTGTACTGAGGAGAAGTTGTGACCAGATGGGTGCATCATGTCAAGGTGAACTGGATGCTCGTCGAAACGACTGATGAGGGCAGTGCTATATCACGAATTGACAGAAGTTAGAATTCACGGGACACTGAATCTTAGTCAAAGTGCCTGAATGGTCATCAATTAGTTTGGTCTCATAGCCTGAAACTCCCGGGTTCGATCCCTGGTGTGGCCAATGGTGTGCACTGCTGAATATCTCCAAACTAGGACGAAACAGCTGTCAGAGAATTTCAGTTAAAAAAAATACAAACACATTTGTAAAATAAAAACCAACCACTAACCTCTTTTTATACATTTGTACAGTTGACATTGGTACATCTTTCAAGGTTAAACTTTTAAAGTGTTCTAAAATAAAATTTGAAAAGAAAAAACCAAGCCATGATAAAACAACAAAAATTGAATATTGAGCACTGAGCAATAATAGTGGTGAGAAATAAATTATTATTATTAAGGACTGTTCATTAAGTATATCGATTATTTATTGAGTAATATTATACTTTATAAACCGGTCAAAAAAAACCACTGTTCTGCATATAACAGAAAATCAAGGTCCCATTATGTAGTTTATCGTTTAAGGTCGGACAGACGAATTCGTTCATCGACGAAAATTATACAAATACAAGCTATGTCATTGGTTGGACTGATTTTTTCAGCTATCTTCTATGTCTTGATAACAAAAGATCAGATGGTGGCTGAGAAAGGATGTGCAAACGACAAGGAACTGCTGCAACGGACCAACCAAAAACCTTCTGCCCTATAAACATGCAGAAGAGTATGAACAGGGGTCAGACATACTCAGAGGAGACCACTGAGTGACATCCTGCGCCATAAATGTCATCGACTGGAACCCAAATGGAAAGCAAGTGACAAGTTGGCGATCTAGGGGTAACATGGAGGAGAACATGTGAGGAGCTTATGACCAATCATTCAGAACAGTTGAAAAAAAACTGCCAATAGCAAGATGAGACGGGGATGTGCTCCTGAAGTCATCTGTTCTAATTGGAACCCAAAGGAATTATAATATTATATATGGTGAAACATTTACAGAATCACTGAAAACCAAAGAGTACCGGGGACATTTTTTCGTCCTAACAGTACAAAACCTATAACCCTTACCAGGAGTCAAACCCTCACGAATTTGATTGTTACGGAGCGACCCATGCTCTCCACCTTTTGTCAATTTGCAATAAGCGGTATATCGACGATGCCTTTATTATTTGTGATGACAACTGTTCAACTGCTTAGCTTCTCAGAAAATTTAATGGTTCTCACCCATCTACGCTTTTCACAATCAAAGAAGAGAGAAAAATTCCACATTTCACCTCCTAGATGTGATGCTAGATAGAAGAGAGGATGGCATGTTGAAAGGTTGATTTATCGAAAGCCAACATTAACAGGGCAGTACACTAACTTCAACAGTTAGGTGCCTCTAGACAGAAGAAGAAATCTTATCGGTTCTCTATTCTCCAGAATTCGGAAAATCTGCTCTAAAGATAGGGTAAATATAGGACTAGAAAACCTTCTCACAACTCTCTAAAGTAATGGATATCCCAGAAGGTTTATTGACAGAAACATCAAGAAAGAAACCATCCGCAGCCAAATCACAGTGCCAAAGAAGACACTGTGTATGAGTCGTTCATCTGAATGTATTAAACGCTCTTTTTATGCAGCTGACTTACGTTTACTATTTACTAACCAAAATATGATTTGACAATGCGTCAAGGATAAACCACCTCTTATGTCCATCTCTGTGTGTATACACTCTTTCACACACTTGTGGGAAGCAGATTACATTGGACGCTGTAAGCGTGTTCTCTGTAGGACAAGCATAGGATGATGAAGTCTTCAATTTGTGAACACCTTCCGCAATCAGGTAATTCAGCCCTGCGTGATTTATCCTTTAAAGTTATTTAGTGGGCCAAATTCAACCACTCCAAAAGCTTACGTTTTCTTCACTTTTATATAGCGGAAGGTCTAGCTATACATGAACAGAAACCTAAATTATGTGTTCAAAAAACGTTTTGTTAAATCCCTCTCTTTACCTTGACCATAGTAATGTTCTTTTATTTTATTTTATTCTATTTTACCACTTACAATTCATTTCACTTCAGTTTATCTTCGCCTGCTTTATTGTTATCATCGTCGTACTTGACCTACTATTTTTAAGATCTTAACGCCGATTCACTTATTTAATAATCTTTAAGAGTCTTGTAATTCATCCACTTCAACTCTACCCGCTTAGTACATCATTTGAATTACCTTTATTCCCATCATATGTGCAACATTGGACTGAGCAGTTTCTTGTGTCAGTAATTTCCAATATACCGATGAATACCCGCTTCACGCCGACATTCAGGAGACGATGGATAAAGAAACTAATCCGAGCTTTCATCAAAATAGCTAACTGTGAGTCAACTGGAGATATATATTCCGCTTAAGAGTTACAGACAAGAATGAAACAATTCGAAGTAGCTAGTCTAGGTACTTCATCTTTCAGTCGAGGAATCACCATCGGTCGTGTAGAGAATAATACGTGTAGTTCGCCAGCATTAAATATTCTTGGAACTGATTTTCTTATTTTCTTCGTAATTATCGCGCTTGGTATATCGCCCATGAATTGCAGCCGTATATATAAAGTGGCTTCTTGTTTACAGACAGTGAGTAGTCCTTTTCCGCTTTCTTTGTCATGTGTTTCTTGATAAATTTGTCAGGATAACCATTTTCGATCAAAGTATCATATACAATGCTTAATTCATCTTCAATCACTTCCTCTGAGCATATAGCTCTAACTCTGTGGCCAAGGGTATTCACTAAATTTCTTTTGTAATTGATAGGAACGAAGCTGTGAAAGTGTGTATATTGTCCTATCCATTGATATAAGAATACAACTTGTGCACTGTGGTAGACTGTAATTCCTTTATGGGTAAATTTTTTTTGATAGAGTCTCACAGTGTTATACAGTAATATTTACTGATGACGTTTCGAGAACAATTTATTGCTCATAATCATATCAAGGTAATCACACGACTTCCTAAATTCATTTATACAGTTCCATTGTTTTTCACTTGATTTGATTGGTAGTATTATTTTCCATATTTCAGGTATGAGTGATGATTCATTCCTATTGCATGTGTTGGGTGTAGATTCGATGAACAAGGATTCAGTAATCAACCTCTCTCTCCACTTACCTAGATTACTTTTTAGAATTTTAACCCTCCCACACCATGCTACTGTGTGGTTGTGTGTTAATGCATGCACTGCAATAGCCGAGTTTTTTTCTAAATTACTTATCTTCTCGGGGTCAACCATTCTTACCTTAGCTAAATTCTTATGTTCTGACAATCTGACTACCCCTGACCTACTAGTTTGACCTATGTAGTTGACCTCACTCACAGTCATTGCAAGGTATTTTGTAAATTATATTATTTTGTCTAATTGGGTCCACTGGGTCCTTTAACCTACAGAGCTTGTCCCTGAGTGAGTTTGTAGGTTTTAATGTCACCCTAATTCCTGCTTTATTTAGAATCCTACGTAGGGTCTCAGATGTCCCCTCCTTATATGGTAGAACTGTAGATGACTTATATTCTCTCTTATTTATGTTATTATTACTAGTTTCACAATTATTTTTATTTTTCTTTTGGCGTTTTTCAATCTTCCTAATGAATTTTGAAGGATAGTTATTTAACACCAACGCTTCTTCTATCTGTTTTATCTCATCATTTAGGTCTTTTTTTGTGCTACTTAGTGCCATCGCTCGGTTTGTTAAACACTTAACTAAGCCTGCCTTCACTAAAAGACAATGGATGAGATGAATTAAAGTCTAAATATCTATTAGAATGCGTTGGTTTTCTATAAACACTAGTGTGTAGTTTGCCTTCTTCTGTTCGTTTTATTTTACAATCTAACATAGCTAATTCTCCTTGCTCATTTTCGGTTTGAAATGTGAACTTTATTCCCTGCACTAGTGAGTTTATAATGGTCAAGAACTTAGAGATATGTTCTGTTCTTGACATATATATATTCCGCTTCAGAATCACAGACAAGGATGAAACACCTGTCTCCAGACCGCCTTGATTTTAATAGCTTCTACAACAATGATATTAATTCTTGACGAAGCCTACAATGAAATTAATCCAAGATCCTTACAAACTCCAAAATCTCACTATATTTATATATAGTATGACAGGTTATTCTTGAATTATTCATATTGGCATTAAATAAGAAGCCAGAAAAAAAAAGCGCAAAGAAAACACCTCTAAGCATAAATAAGCTAATTTCCAACAGCGAACACAACATGAATATTATTATTATTATTATTATTAGTTGTACTTTGACAAGACACTGAGAAGACACGAAATAATATACACAGTGATGACAAAAATAAAAACAGATACAGTAGCTTATGTTAAAACGTGCTACTAATACTACTACTACTACTACTACTAAGGATGAAAAACAGGTTAGAGCAAAATGAAAAGGCTGCTAAGATACAACATGTGTTATCGTTCCAATAAGAAGAGAGAGTACGACTACTTAGGTAAAGTATGATAGCACTACTATAAATATTGAATTTTTCATGACTGACTGACTGACTGGTTTCAGCGTAGAACTTTGCACAGATGTGCAACAGTTCGAGTTGCCACTCTCCCTCCCTCCCTCCATGTAGCACACAAGGCGACAGAAGAGAGTAAAGAGAGATTCAAAACAGAGAGATATGAGGCAAAAAGAATAGTAATAACGAAGAACAAAACAGTTTTATTGGATATTATAAGTCATCGACACCGATTTTGAGCCATATCACCAATTGTCTCCAGCCATCATTGGTTTTCACCATCCCGAGGACCCCAACCAATCAGGCTGCTTCAAACTAACTGCTAAAGCTTTCATGAACTGATGTGATGTTTTGGTTTGAACAACACCAGCTCTCTCTTTTCCAACCTGATAACATCACCCGTCTATGAAGGCTCTGGCTAGGTATTCGTTCCCGAAATATGTCCTAACCACCTCAATAGGTGTAACTTCACAACCTCGTCGATTGATTCCCCCCCCCCCCTTACCTAGCACTCGGTCGAAGCCTAATCCCAGTATTGCTCACTCTATTATACCTATCACCTAACACGGGAGATAGAACGCAGACACCTATGATCAAAGACAGCTAGCCTGGCTTTTTCCGTCTTCCACTTTCAATGGCCATGTCTCACTCACAGCCAGCTATAAAGGAAGACAGAGAGAACTGCTGAGCGGCGTACACGTCCTTTGGTTGACAGCCAGCCGGATATCACGTCTACTAAGCTAGAGATGGCGTAAGTTGGCAGGCGAATGCCAAAAGAGCCTTATGTATCCATGTTGAGATTTCGCCAACGATCAACCCACTGGCGTTTGCGCTGATGCAGCTTCCCAAATAAGTGAAGTGGTCAACACGCATTACCAACCACTTCACTCCCTATCTTTAAGCTAGAAGTGAGTCAATGTAGTCCAGTCCTGTAGCATCACATCATCTTACATTTGACGGGAGCAAATCGCATGCCGAAAATTCGCAGATTGCAGTGAACTTCTGTGTAAAGTCCTATGTTGAGACCAGTCAGTCGTAAACAACTGATGAGCTCACACAACCCGTCATTCGCCTCCCATCCAAATCCTACTGAAGAGAATGATGCATGATGCCACAACTAATCATCTCCTCAGCTGTTAGCATTTCAATTTTTCGCTAAAGCGGTCAACGTTCAACTCCCAACGTGGAAGCCGAAACTCGCCTAGTTTACTAGCCAGTCCTAAACCGGGAGAAAATGAGGGAAAGTTCGGAGTTGATATGCACATTTACTCCCCAACTGCAGCGCTGAGAGACGTGGCTGAGGCTGACTGACGGGATATTAGTCGCTTTAAGTTTACAGATATGACTTGCCGATGAGTACCAGGAAGCAGGAAATCTTACCCACTGTTTCTAATCATCTAATACGAATTCAAAGCGGACACAGAGACGACAGCAGATATGCTGACTCCATTATTGCCAAAGGTCTGGAAGGAGGGAAAGGTGCCTACTGACTGTAGGAAAGATTACGTCGTAAAACTACCAAAGAAGGGCGACTTAGGACTCTGCAAGAAATGGCGAGGAATCATGCTCCTGTCGACGCCAACTAAAATCCTAAGTCGCATCATCCTGGAGAGAATAAAGGATGCACTGGATACAGAACTCCGACCAGAACAAGCTGGATTCAGTAAAAGGAAATCATGTTCTCACCAAATTGCAACTCTACGCATTATCATCGAACAAAGCATGGAATGGCGATCAAACCTCTACCTCAACTTTATAGACTTTGAGAAGGCCTTCGACAGCCTTGACCGCGAAGTAATTCGGAAACTATTCGAGTACTACAGTGTACCCCAAATATTCATCAACCTTATTCAACAGCTGTACGACAACGGCACATGTCAAGTGATCCACAACGGAAAACTCAGCGAGGCGTTTAAAGTAAACACAGGAGTCAGACAAGGGTGCTTATTATCACCAATAATATTCCTAATTGTGGTGGACTGGATTATGCGTCAGATAGTGGAAAACGAGAAGACAGGGATATCCTGAACCGACGTGAACAACCTAGAAGACCTGGATTTCGCAGATGATTTATGTTTGATGTCACACAAAATCGAAGACTTACAAGCGAAAACCGACAAACTGATAGAAGAAGCAGCCGGTGAAGAAAAGAATCCAGGTGAACATAGACAAGACGGAGGTCATGAAAATAACCAACCAACAACAACACCAGCAACATCCAACACCAATCACCATCAACGGGGGGGATTTGAACGAGATTAATTCACTCACTTATCTAGGAAGCATTATCTCAACTACAAGAAGAAAGGACGAAGATGTCAAATCGAGAATCGGAAAGGCGAGAAACGCATTCATCAACCTGAAACCAATCTGGAAATCTTCGTCACTCACCATCAACAACAAAATTCAGATTTTCAATACAACCGTCAAGTCAGTCAACTCTTCTATACGGATCAGAAACTTGGCGGGTCACCAAGAATATTTTCAACAGGTTGCAGACCTTTATCAACAGCTGTTTTCGTTCCATAATGAAGATCAGATGGCCGCCGGAAAGAATCACCAACAAGAAACTATGGGAACAAACAAACGAAACAAGAACCAATCGCCCAACAAATATGTAGGAGAAAGTGGAGATGGATTGGACACTCGCTGAGGAAGCCGCTGGGTGACATCGCGTGTCAGGCCAACGCTCAAGTGGAACCGGAAAAGGGAATCGGCGAGTGGGACGTACAAGGGTGACATGGAGGAGATCGTGTGGAGAGGAGTTCAAACAGTATGGACTAACATGGATGCAGGTGAAAAGTATAGCAGAAGACAGAAGCAATTGGAGACGTGCAGTTGAAGCCCTATGTTCCACTAAGAACCCAAGGGAGCAATAATAATAATACGAATTCAAACAGTGCACCATGATGAAAAGTCTCCTAGATTGACGATTCATAAAGCCATGAAAAACTAGACAGTAGTTATTCTAACTTGAGTGACCAGTACACATACGACCAGATAATTTTCAATAACAGGTGCTCTCATCTGTATTATTTACTAACCAATCGGACTGAAACTTTTCAAGATAACCTTAGATTGAATGGATATTGATATAGTCAGGTGATAATTGAAAAAGATAATTAGAAAAAAATCCAAGTCGTGGCTGAACTCGATCCCGTAGTACACTTCAGATTTCTACAGTAGTAATGCTGACAAAACAAATTGTTAAACTAAATCATATTTTCGCACGGATAACCAAACGTTTGCCAAGTTATCATGTTTATCATAAATGTTGCATGCCAGTCATTTATGTGAACGCCTTTGAAGGATGTTATTAATGAACTTGAATTTTATTGTCGGTACATGGATGATACTTTTTTGATTATGAAGAACGAAAATGAAGCAAAGAACATCCTGGATAAATTTAATGAGGTACATCCTGCAATAAATTTTACTGTTGAGAAAGAAGAAGACTCTAGTATTTCATTTTTAGACGTCCTTATAACCAGAAAAGAGGACGGCACAATAAGAAGAAGTGTTTATAGAAAGCCTACATCAACGGGCCAGTACACACATTTTCTCAGCTTTGTGCCCTTGAAATACAAACGCAATCTAATAAAGTGCTCAGTTCACAGAGCAAAAGAGATTTGCTCGGATGAATGTCTTGACAAGGAACTTAACAATATTAAACGGTTGCTAAGTGAGAATGGTTATCCTGAAAAGTTTATTGATACGAATATGAATCTAAAAACAAAGCAGCCCAAGTTATCAATGGTTCCAATAAAGGCCTTGTTCTTACAGATGCAGTTCCTAGGAGACAACACCAGTGAGATACTAACACAGAGGCTTAGAAATGCGGCAAAAAGAGGATTCCCTGCTGCTCAATTACGCTGTATCTTTAAAATCACTCCTCTCTTGCGTTCGGGAATAAAAGACAAACTGCCTAATTTTGCCTCTTCCATGTGTATATACCAATTTAACTGCTCCTGTGTAGCCATTTACATAGGCCGTACAATTAGGCGTGTTTCTCGTCGAATTTCCGAACATCACCCTGCAAAGTGGTTAAGCAAAGGACAAACAAAAACTATTCGCAGCGCTATTCTATCTCATCTTGTGGATACAGAACAGAAGATTGACGTTAATCATGCTTTCAGGGTCACTTACCACATACCTACGAATCTCAATTTCGCTTTAAGAGTTCGGCTTCTAAATATTGCTGAGTCTGGCTGTGTGGATCCATATTAATAAGCCTAATTTATGCACCCAAAAGTAGTTAGTTCAGTCATTATCATTACCTTGGCCATCCAGGTTTGAATAATCCAGAATTTTTGTGAAATTTCCCTAATTTTAGTTGATATTCTATTCGCTGTTATATCTTTATTAATATTATTATAATTTAAGCATCTTTAGTGAACTGTAATTGCATTGAACACCTATTAAGTGAATTCCTTGGTGCTGACATTGAGAATGTAGCTTTGTAGAACTGATTGCATTAAGACACACTGATTAAAACTAAGGCAAAACCAGCTAAATTATCAGTCTGGACAAATTGAACAATCTGGCCACGGCAAAATACAATTTGACAACTTTGAAACCCAAACTAATGCGACCAATTAAACTATCTATTTATTTTCAAGTATTGGTTTTGTAAGGATTTAGTTTGATTGGATAGAGGATTTCATCATGAGCTGACATCAGTTAGAGAACCATTGGAAAACCAGTACAGAGTACTGGACAGCTGTCTCGTCCCGCCTTCTTTGGGACTCTTCATCAGTACAAACCAACTGCCACGGTTCGAACCCACGATCTTCAGGTTACAAGGCGAGCTCGTAGACCATTGAGCCACTGGGACCCGATCCAATGGCCAGTCCATGAATTCTAACTTCTGCCAATTCACAAAATAGTGTGACCATTTATTTGTATTTATTGGCTTAACTTTACGGGGTTAGTGATATTTGTATATAATTATACTTTTGTAAAATAAAAGTAGATTGTTCTCCGCAGCTATCTCTGGTTCCATGACTTCTCACGGTAAGAGGTGACTGGAAACCAGTATCGAACTGTAGTTGCAGCGTTATTATAAGTGCCGATCATATGTGCGTCGGTGGCATAACGGTTAGGACGCTCGCTGACCATGCACATGGTCCAGGGTTCGATCCCCGGCCAATGCACTCCTTTACCTCGCTAAGCCAGAAATAAATGTTGGGCATGAGGCTAGCAACCCCATCCTGTAAAATAAACACTGCTACAGAAACTTCAAGCCCCTAGCCTGGAGCCCTATGTTCCACTAGGGAACGTGAAGGAAAAAAAAATATCAATCTATATCACACCCGGCGAAATTACCGAGATTGATCTGACGTTATTATTATTATCGTCCCACTGTCTCAATGGCTAGTGGACTGACCATGGTCATGAGTGCGCACTGTTGAAAAGCCCCAAAATAGAACAAAACAGATATCCAGTACTATACTACTTTGCGTCGGTGGTTCCCTGGAAGCGCTAAACGTAGTCCCACTTTTAATTTCCAGCCGACGCACTTCTAAATCTCACTAAGCCGATAGTAGGCCTAGCAAAGATGGAAAGGTTGAGCGTTAGGCTGACAATCCCACTCGTAAAACCAACATCAGAGGAGCTTTTTAAACTTCGGAGCTCAAGCTTTACATCCTATGTTTCCACTGGAATGCAAGGGAATGAAAAATATTATTTAAAGAAAAGCTACCAGAATCATAAATCACAACCGTTACAAAAAGAAATAACAGAAATTTATGAAGGAAACAAAAGGCATTTACAACTAACTTGATTTCATTAAATCACCAAACAATAAGGCTAAAGATGCATCCCAATTCAATTTATCACTGTCACCATCAGCAGTTGTAAAACTAGTCGGTGTACTTCTTTTCCTGTTGGCATCATTGCCATTGATCATTAAGAATGGTTGAGATAAACGTGATATCAGTTGTAGAGTATCACTAGTTGAACGTTTCGATGAAATAGACGATCTAGTTATAGTGTCTGTATTTGAAGTCGATAATATATCTGATGGTGTTCCAGAAGGCTATAGACACAGAAAACAAGATATATATATATATACAACAAAACAATGGAACCTCAAATTTATCGCTATATAACCTTAATGAAATTAACTCCTGGGTGAAGACGCTGACACAAAATGCAGTCTTATTAACACCTTGAACAGAATTCCAGATTAGTTTGTTTATTAGATGTATCACACAGTGAAACAGTATTATTTACTGGATGACAAGGTTTCGAACAAAATTTATTGTTCATAATCATTTCATCAATTATAATCACACGACTTCGAAACTTGAGTTTTATAGTTTTCTTTGTTTTCTCCTATTTGTCGTCGTAGGGGTGATAGAATTTTCCGGATGTATGGGATAGGTGTTGAAACATTCGTATTCCATGTATCTGCAGTTGATTCGATAAACAAAGCTTCCGTTATTAATCTTTCCCTCCACTCTGCTGTTACATTAGATTTTAAAACTGGTATCTTATCCCATCCTATTGTAAGGTTGTGTGTAATTGTATGTAGTAAGTGGTATAGCTGAACTATATTCTAGATTTCTTATCTTATTCGAGTCAACTAATCTAGATTTTGCTAGGATTTTAGGCTCAGCTGCACCTGCTCTACTAGTTTGACCTATGTATTTGACCTGACAATCATTCCACCAGGGTATTAGATAAACTAAATTGTTTTGTTTTAAAGGCTCCACTGTTAGGATCCTTTAACCGGCAAAGCTTGTTTCCAATTGAGTTTGTGGGTTTGACTGCCACTTTTATTCCTGCCTTGTTAAGAATTCTGTATGGAATTCCTTGTATGGAATTACTACTGATGATTTAGATTCCTTATTATTGGTGTCGTCATTAATATTATTATTATTATCACTATTATTATTATCATTATTATTGTTATTATCACTACGCTACTATCATTATTTATTTTATAAGGAATCTAAATCATCAATAGTAATTCCATACAAGGAAGGATTATGAACAATAAATTTTGTTCGAAACGTCATCCAGTAAATAATACTGTTTCACTGTGTGATATATCTAATAAACAAACTAATATGTAATTACGTAATACCACAGTGTCCAAGTTTTACACATATAATAACCTTGAACAGAAATTTTTGCGTAATTCGTTCCAGTCAAATGTAAGCTGATGATCTACAGGACTGATTTGAACCAACTCCGAGCTTCAAGATAGGATGTGAAGTGGTAAAGCGTGTTGACCACCTCGACTATTTAGAAATTTTGCATCAGCCCTAACATACTAATTAATCACTGACAAAATCTCAACACGGATACAAAAGCTCATGTGATACTTGTCAAATTACGTCATCTTTGGTGTAGACGTAGTATATCCGGATATCCATCAAAGGACATATGTGCTGTGCAGTAGTTCCCTCTATCTCTATTTATGACTGTGAGAGTGGGTGATATCAAAAGACCAGTATTTTTTTCTAAAATTCTTAGTTAACAACTCACCTTTCTGTCTTCGGCACTTCGCTGAACACTTCCGATAGACTCCGTCGATTCACTGTTTTTCAGATGAAAGGGAAAACACAAACAGAAATAATCAAAGAAATCAGCCTTCTCTGATTATAGAATGCAATAAATAATCAAAAACGTGATATTTGATTTAAACAATATAACATTTGAACATATAGAAGGGAACAAAAATAACCTCTTTAGATTATTCAGATAATTCAGGCTTGAATGTGTTAAATAATACTGAGTACCATTCGATGCATAGAGATTAGCAGTGTGAAATCTAGGGCGTGGACTTCGTCCAACCTGGGACTCGTCAGCCAGTAGTACTTGCATTCCTAGTGAGTGATAAAAGGTGTTCCCAACAAGACTCGAGCCCAGTACCCACTGAGTAAAACGGCGAAGCCTTATCCACTAAACTACTTCAGATATGACAGGCATCTCCTGTGCTATGAGTCTCAATTATTATTTCTTTTAATTTTGTGTTTCCCGTTGATCGAGCATATTTCGGAACCCATACGTCAATAGAGATGGAACATTTCGGTACAGTGGAATTTCAGCTTGTTACTTAGAAATCACCATCATCAGCACGACCACCCTTCGAGGTGTAACAATCAATTGATGACAGTTATCAGATGGTAAACTAAGATAAATCGCCAATAAACACAACGCATAAGGCTAATGTGTAATTGATGCCTTCATCACACCAATATCCTACCATTTCATTAATATCTACCTACGTTCTACTCGCATACACAGTAAAACAAAACGTGCTAAAACCCAGTGTATGTTCCACCTCTTGATAAAACGACATCAAATGGAAGTATGAATCAGGATTCATGGTCACATGAGCTTTATGATGTCTGTTGTTATCACTACAATCAATAAGATTTCTGATTTTTTGATTGGTTAGAGGATTTCATTATGAGATGACATCAGTTACAGAACCATTGGAAAACCAGCCACAGAGAGTACTCGACAGCTGTTTCGTGCTAGTTTGGGACTCTTTGTCAGTACGCACCAACCAAAGTGGTTTTAACCTAGCACCACATAGTTACAACGCTAGCTCATAGATCATCAAGCCACTGGGACCCGATCCAACGACTAGCCCATGAATTCCAACTTCTCCCAATTCAAGACATAGCGCGACCACTTCGCAATGTCTTCTTCGATGAGTAGCTTAATGGTCTACGAGTTTGCTCGCCTTGTAACCAGAAAGTCCTGGGTTTTAACCCCCGTGGGTGTGTACTGCTGAATAGTCCCAAACTAGGCTGTCCACTACTCCCAGTTCTCCAACTGATGTCAGCTCATGATGAAATCTTCCAACCAATCCCTATCAATAGTTGAAAATTTCTAATTTTCTAGGGATGCTGATTCATTTCAATGTCAATTTCTTCACAACGGAACATCAGTTAAAGCTTCATACAAAACAAAGCGGAACTGAAATTTAAATAAGGCATCCTGAGGGGTGGGGTGGTGTCCAACACATGTCAGAGTAGAACGGGTCATTGAATTCCCCCCCCACCCCAGTAGCTAAATGGTATATGTAGTAGTCCTTAACCTGTAGATCACCTCTGTTCGAACATTTCCAAAGTTCATAAGTGTGCACTGCTAAAAAGGTTGTGAAATACGAACAAAACAGTTGCCTTACTCCTACAATTCGTTAACTCTCGCATTCTGCCTATTATTCTCTACTGTTCCTCCTTAGTTTTTCCCGGGCTACTGAAGAAAGACTATAACATTACGCAGGATGTTAAAGGTTGTCAGCAGGGTAAGCGACGTGCCACTTAACCAGCTTGTTAATATTCTGGTCGACACGACGGGCACTTGGACTCATGTGAAAAATGGACCAAATCCATTTTATCTAACTCACACCACTCTCTTCATTCACAACTCTCCCCTTGCATCTCATCAGGTAAAACCAGAAGCCTATATAGAAAACTATATGCTCGCACTAGCAAGTACAAAAACTCAATCATACCCTACTTAGTTCGTGTTCTGTGTGATAAAGAAAGCATTAGGCGTGATACCTATAACTTATTAAATAGTCAGTAGAACAACTGGATCTCGTCTTCCCAACTCATACCATTTATAGGTACAACATTTTCTTTCTTTCTTTTTCTTTTCACTCTCTCTCTTTTTTTCTGTTATGTGCTACTTTGTTTCTTTCTTCCACTTTCGCCAATAAATATGACAGCACTTACTTTTCTAACACCTTCAAACACTGTTCAGCTTTACCTTTGCTACCGACATGCCAATGTGTTGTTGTCATAATGAACTGAGATTTCCTTAATCTATGTAGAATTCTATTTATTGATAATGTACTAACTGGATGCAATGCTGTAGTAAAAATGCTGAGAATTCCATTCTGTATCACAAGTACTGTTTTGGAATAAAGCAAATTAATATTATTACTATTCAGTGCTTCTTTGTTTTTCATCACTTCTGTAGATGATATTGGTTCATGGCAAAATCAGTTTTCATGCGTAGCTTTGCAAGGCACTTGATTAATTTCAAGTAAGATCACAAAATGAACTCAGTAGGAGAACTATGGGAAACCCAAAACCCCACCATGTTTCCAACCAAGGACCTTTAGACTACCAGGTCAGCACTCAACAACTATTCAGTCAATGTGACAAAATCGAATGGCCTGCCGACCCGGTGCTGGACGGATAAGACGGCTCTTCACGTAGTCTAAAGGTTTTGGATCCAATCGATATTTGGGTGGTGATGGGTATGTAAAAAAGCTGAAAAATCCTACACTAGGATAATGGAAACAGCTGCTGCTTTTCAATGATTCTCTTACTGATATCAGTCAGTTAGTGACCAAACTTGAAAACAAACAAATTATTTAAATTCGATTATTATCTTTAAGTGTTTCTTCATTTGAAGAAGAAGAAGAGGAGAAGAAGAAGAAAAAGTAGAAGAACAAGAGTAAGACGAAAATAATTTTAATCAATAAGTTATCTTTTCGTGATTCTTTACAAATATGCACATATCGATTCGTTTTTTATAATCTAGCAAAGACTTATCACAGTAAATCACTTCACATCTGTCGTTGTAACACGTTTATCACAACAACAACAAACAAGCAAACATAACAGAATAAGAAACTATTGAGAGATAAGTAACTGATAAGACAAGACAAGAGATTTAAATGAATAAAAGAGTGAAATAAAAGAGTGTTCAAGATATCGTTGGGTAAGACAAGAGAACAGTGTGAATTCATAGCAAGCTAAAGTAACTTCGATGAGTATTCATTAGTGATTAAGGCAGGCATTGGTGGTAGTTCAGTGATGACAGAATGCTCTCCAAGCATGCATTTTATCCAGAGTTCGATCCTCGATCAACACACGACTAAACCTCGCCATCTAGGTTGCTAGTCAATAATAAGCCCCAGAGGAGAGAGTGGGAAGGTTGAGTATGTGAGGCTCATAATCCCACCGCGTAAAAATAACACTACATCAGATGCAGAAACTTTAGGATTCCCAACCTGAAGGCAGATGTTCCACTGATAAGAACTCAAAGGAGTGAAAAAAGACAAGCATGAAAACACACAGATGGAAGGAAAAAGCTGGACAGCATTACAAAGAATTGACTCAATACACTTTGGTCAAGTTATGCGACACACACCATCATCGAATAAAGAGAGAAAATAATGAACAAAAGATGGGATGATACAAAAAAACTAAAGAACGAGATTAAAACAGAACAGGAGAGGGGAGTCTAGAGTGATTTAAAACTGCCTTAGATTGTAAACATTATTATCCAATAGAATGTACATAAGTGAATTAATAATGCCGATATTCTTTTTCATTTCTACTTTTTTATCTTCACAGAAGAACATAGGGCTTCGTGTTTCGAAATTGCGATAACAGCGGTTATAGTCTTCAACACGACGGGACATCTAGCGTCACCCCCAACCTTCCCTAGCATAGGATCACCCCTACTAGACTGGAAGAGGTTTTCAAATGCGTCATCCAGTAATCGAATCCGGACCACTGACGTGGTAAAGTGACCATTCTTTCCACCATTAAAGCACCGACAAACAATACAACTGCCATACTAGATAAACAATGTCTTAAAACATAAAAATGATCCCGTGTCACCATGAGATTTCAGCACAGTAAAAATAAAAAATCTCATCGTTATAGTTAACTCTGCAATAGGATGAGACAATGTGACTCTACTGAAATCGAATGTACTAGAGTGGTGGGAATGAATGATAACTGAAGCTTTACTTATTATATAGTCATATGAGAATATGCGTGATAGGAATGACTCAACACCTATCCGTTCGGATATCTGGAAAATTCTACCATCCTTCATAGGATAAATAGGAAGACGGAATATGTGAGCTACCAAATGTAACGTTTCGAAGTTGTCAACTAAACAAGTGTTGTTATGAATATGAACGATAATCAGTTGTTTTGTTAACCTTATCGAGTAAATAATACTGCTTCTCTCTGTGTGTGTGTGACATATACAGAAAAAAATAAACAAGGAATAATGGTGATGAAAGAATGACTATTATCTCCTTTAATTTTGGCGTGATAGAGATGAAAACGTTGTAGATTAACGATTCCATGATGTGAACATCCCTCTTTATAGCTCAGGTCGTTGTCAGTTTATATGCATTGCTAATTGGAAAGTGTGGGGATTTGGCGAGAAAGAAAAGAAGACAGAAATTCATAGTTCATAATCAGCTCACTGAGTTGAAATCATAAACATGCGTGATAATGCCATTATTATGTGATTATTCCCTTAGGATCCGAGTGGAAGATACGGCTGCAACAGAAAATTTCCATTTCATCTCATCATCTACAGTCCTTTTCAGCTGTTTCCACGATTACGGATAGGCTGTCATTTCCTCTTCAAAAGATCCTCTTCATGTGTACCTCGGACCCATCCCTAATCCGTCGTTTCGCTTTACGGGTTCCACTCGTGCAATGGCCTGCCATGAGATGTCACCTGATGGTCTCCTCGACATTTGTCCAAACCATCTCTATTTCATCCTACATATTTGTAGGGCGATAGGCTGTTGGTTGG